TAAGGAGGATTATATACTAATGTTATGCAACTTGGGTTATATCAGTAAAAGAATAAAAGCTATTTCTGGTGAAAATTTCGCTTGCCCTGGTGCCCCTGATGCATCCTTGGTAAGAAATCTGAATTATCCTGCACTTGGAGTGAAAGTTAAGCCTTTGGAACCTTTCAATGTTAGACTTACTAGAACAGTCACAAATGTTGGGTTACCTAACTCAATTTACAAGGCAATTATCATACAAAAACCACAAATTAACATCACAGTGGCACCAGAGATTCTGTCTTTCAAATCATTGAATGAGAAGCAGACATTTGTTGTTACAATCACTGGTAAGATACCAAATCAAACTGTGATCACCTCATCATTGGTATGGTCTGATGGTACCCACAATGTGCGAAGTCCAATTGTTGTAAGTGATTATACTAGAAAACAATAACCAATAATTAACAGTCTAATAAAAGTATTGGCTTTTGCCTATAATTTCTAATGTATTGCAATTTATCAATTTTAAGACAAGTTGGGGCCAAATAAATTAGCAAGTCTTCTTTTCAATGGATCCTTATGAAATAATTTGAATGATTTAATGCACCATTAGTGTAAAACTTTTTAGACGGTGAACTAATTAAAAATCACTGTAAGTATTACTTTTAAAGTGGTTATTATACAAGTCAATAATTTTAATGATAAGATAATTAATTACATTATTAGTATAATTTTAATTTAATTCGTGTTTTTTTCAGAGTTAGAAATCACGTGATGTTTTTAAGACCAAAGAGTTCAAAATCACAGTATAATTCAAACACATGGACTCCTTTTAGATAAATTGATCATATTGTGAACATAATAGTAACTTAAAAGATTACGTCAACACTTCAATTTAATTTAATTCATATTTTCTTACATATTTTAATTGTAAATTTTAAAAACATTAAAAAATTATGTATATATACATATAATATGATTCTAATTTAATTATATATTATGTCATCTTTCAATTGTTATTTTTGTTCTAAGTTTACAAAATGAATAGTAATTAAAAGTGTATCAATCGTTAATAAGTCATAAAAATATGTTTTATTTCATGTAATGATCATAAGTAGAAAAAAAATATTCTTCTTTTAGGTGAGTAAAAAATATTCTTATATTGATATAAAAATATTCTTTGGTATAATATAAGTATTATTATTATTATTATTATATTTATATTAACAACTTTAATTAAAAATGGTAAAACTTAATTATATATCCAAATCCTGTATACTGCACGGTACATATTAGTTTAATAATAAAAAAAAATTAAGTTCGTTTTCATAAAGTTAGGCTTCTAAAATTTGCAGTTCTTGTAGTACATATACTGATCACATTATTTTATTTATGAATTTAATTCAAATGCATAGATGAAATAAATATCTTTTACACTATTATTTATTTAAAGCTGTCAATAAAAATTATTATTTTTGTAATAATCTATCTCTATATTTTTTGAATGAAAATCTTTAAACTAAAATGTTTAAAAATGATCTTAAACAATGACGTTTTTATGTTGTTTTTCTTTTATGCTATGAGTTTTTCATGCATAAAGCTTTCATACATATATACAATTTAGTATTAATATAAATTTAAAATTTTCACAATTTATATTTCAATATTAAAATTCTATCTGTTTAATTTATTTTTATTTAAAATAAAAAATATTTATAATTAATAATTAATTTTTTCATTTATTAAAATAATATATATAATATTTTATTTTTAATTAAAAATATGTTAACTTAATAATATATGCACAAGAAACGGAAGACTTATCGGTTAATTAAAAAGTGAAATTTATTATGTATTCTAATTAGTTAAAAATATAAAATATTATATTAATAATACATCAAAATTAAATTTTATTTTATTTGCAACACGATAAATATTCTAACAGTAGAGCAAAGTCTTTTATTTTTTTTAATTGTATCAAGGTAAAAATTTTAATTTTTTCAGGAAAAATAAATTAACCCTCTAAATTTTATCTTCTTTTAAATAGATATTTATAACTTTTAATTTTCTTTCCAAATTGATGATTAAATTTTGTCTTTTCTTACATGTATACATCCAAAATTTTAATTTCATTTTAATTAATCCATAAAATTTACTGGCTTTATAAATAGATTTTTGAAACTTTAGTTTTGGTTTCAATTGATCTTTAAATTATTTATTCACCAAAGTTTTTTATCCATTCAATAATAATAATAATAATAATAATAATAATAATAATAATAATAATAATAATTCTAGAGAGGAAAGATAAACTAAAAAATAAAAAATAAAAAGAAGAATTCTCAACATATACAGTGATTTTATTTTTATTATTTTTCTTTGTTCAAAATATTTATTATATTTGATGTTTAGAAAAATGAATTAAGAAAAAAATTAATGAATGATTAATTTAAAGTAAATAATTTTTTTTAATTTATTTTTTGTTACTAATATTTCCAAATTAATCTATAGAAGATTATTTAAAAAATAAATAAAGTGTAAGGATAAATATGAATAAAAAAATTTATGGTGTCTTTTTAAAAAATTAAAAATTTAATAATCAATTAAAATAAATTAAATTCAAGATATTTATGAGTACAAATGGAATAAATTTAAGTATCAATTAAAACAAAATTAAAGTTTAAAGTTTTTATTTACAAAGAGAGTAAGGTTGAATTTATAATATAAAAAAAATGTGATATTTATATTAGAGAAGATACATAAAAATAGTGTACATAACATCAAATATAATTTATAAAAAGTAAAATAATGTACAATGTAATTCACATTAAATTTATGAGAATTTTTAAATTTGACTTGAATCGTGCATCTAAAAGTGGTAGTAAATTTATCATTAAAAATTTTTGTATACACAAAAATTTGAATTAGAGACTTTATTTAAGTAATATTGAACCACTTAACACTTGAATTGATTTTATTAATAATTTTAATAAATTATTATTGCTAAAATTTGTTATTATTAATATTAAATTTAATATGTATATAACGAGAATATTATCAATTTTTTAAGGTTAAGTTTAATAATATAATTACATATAAAAATTCAGCGATGGCTATAGCTAAACCAATCCAAATTTTTTTGACATCATTGATTTTGGTTGGTTCAGTTCTCATCATTTATCATTATTAGTTATAATAAAAACATATTTCAAGTTTATAAAGTACAATGTACAATTATTAAATGCTCGATCATGATGAATTGTATAGGTTAGAACTATAATAAAGTTGATACATTAACCTTCACCTACAAGTGATTATTATTTTTTTTAAAAAAAGCTGAATTAAATAAATAATTGTTTTTTACTTACTCTAAAAAAGAAATATCATTTATATAATAATTTTATATAATCTTTTTTAAAAAGTAGAAAAAAAGTAAGAAAAAGCGCTAGATGAAGTAACAATATGTTAAAATAATGTAGAAAACAAAGAAATATAGTGTAAAATTAAATGTGGGATTTGAAAATATTATACACTGAAATATTAAATTTTAGAGAAAAGCATGAAAATATAAGACTCAAAAATTGTCATTGATAATTTTTGAATAAAATAAGTTGATTTAAAAAATTTCGGTTGATGATTTTTGAATTATAACAAATTAACTAGTTTTATTAAAAAATGTGTTATTGATAGTTTTTAAATTTTTATTTTTTTAATTACAATTGACAAATTTTAAATTTCTCTCAACATTTCATATTTCCGTATTTTTAATTTTAAATTCTATATAAAATAAAGCCGTAAAGTGTTGCATAACTTTATTGATCGAAAATCTTAAATGTTACCAAACGAATTTTGACGAAAATTACATACAATGAAAATGCATGATTTTCTTCAGTTTCCCATATTTTATCGTTTTTTTTAAAATTATTTTTAGCCAATAACATGAAATTAGGTTGATTCGTGTTGGATACGTTAGAACACTTTATAGTTTTATTGTATAAATGTATTTTTATTTCTACAAAAGAAAATGGGATAATCAATATGCATTTAATTTGTTAGGAAAGTTTGTGGTTTGCACAAATCTTCAACTTCTATTCAATGCAAAGAGACCAAATTCACCGAAACGAGAAAATTGGATTAATTTTGGGGTTAAATTTAGCTTATTTCTCTCAAATGTGGAATCAATGAAATTTGTGATGTTGCAATTGAAAATGAAACTAGAAACGATCTCAACAAAACTAAAAATCGTTTTACATAAATAAAAAAATTTGTTAAAAGTAGTTGGTATATTAATTTTTTCAAAATAAATATAATATTTTAAAATTATATTTATTAAAATATGTAAAGAAACAATAAATATTTTTAAAAATTTTATATTAAGAGATAAGAGTCACAAATTTTTAAGAGAATCTTATAGAAGAAAGTTAGAGAAAGCACAATGAACGAGTATTTCTAACTTAAAATTTTAAAAATAAATAAAACAGAAATAGTTTAGAAAAGCTTGAAATTATAAAATTATATATTGCGTAAAATAAAATGTGTGAAATAAAATTTAAAAGTAACAAAGACACGTGTCAAATTTTTTTTAATAAATATTAGACATACCTCATCCTTTGGAAACATTATACTAAATAATTGAATTACTCTTAGAAAGAATTTTTTTTATTTCTTTAACTTTATTAATTATTCATTAAAAAATTAAATTATTTTTTTTTTAAAAAAGGACAAACGCTTATAATTACTGCTTGTTCCTGAGGAACATTTTAATTGAAAAGTGAGAAAATTTACTGATAGGGTTTTACTTTTCCTGAAAGATAGGAAACGCAACAGCAAGCACATGCCACGTGGTCCCCCATTCAGTTTTCTTCATCCATCCGATGCAAAAACTAATCTAACGGTGAAAAATCGTCCACGATCTTTCAAAAGCAGCCTTTGATTAAGCAAATTCGACATGGTTCACGTTGCTCCACGATCATCACTTTATCACCGTCAGATCTTAACAGATCCAACGGTCACAGCTTCGCATAGAACCAAAGAACATGGCAGCGGGAACAAGTGAAGTACGAGAGGGGAGAGAGAGAGAGAGTAGAGTAGAGTTGGAGAAGGAGATGGAACAGAGTGGTGGAATAGTAACTGGGTCGCATGAAAGGAACGAACTTGTTAGAGTTAGGCACGGTTCTGATAGTGGGGTTGGTGTTTCTCACATAATCTTTTGTTTTCACTTCATATGACTTTTGGTGAAAACTATGCTTTTTTTAATTTATTTATTATTTTCTTTTTGGGTCTGGGATTTATTTATTTATTTTTCACTATGTGTGATTGACTTCAAAGTTTGAATTTTTATGCTTCCAATGATAATGGGTGATGGAAGGTTTAGTCCTTTTGAAGATTTCCTGAGAGTTCCTTTGTTTTTCTTCTTTTTCATACCCTTTTTTGGGGTTGAGTTATTTTACTTTTCTCTTTGTCATTTAAATGGAATTTTTTTGTGAGTTGATTTGTTTGTAGAAAATGTCTGTTGTGTCAGGGTGGTTGGATCTTGAATTGTTTGATTGTTGGTGTGTGCTTCCAGTTTGATTGATGCTTTCCTATTGATGATTTGAGTCTGGTGTGGTGTTTAGGAGGGGGAATTTGATGCTCTAGTTTGAATTTGTTACTTCATTTAGTGTGTGTATTTGAATCTATATGTAGTAGGTGTGAATTTAGAAGTTTGTCACTGAAGTAGACCAGCTAGTAAGTCTTTGGATCAAGCCATTGGCACTTGGAAGAGCTGTGATTGTAGTTTGCATTCTGGTAATGTTTATGAAATCTGGTCAATAACTGCAATTGATTGTCTGATCGTGATGCATTTCATGATTTCATTGCTAATTTTGTCGAAAATCATGGTTATGATGAATCTGTAACTTGTTTGCCATTCTAAATTTTGTGGGTGTGGCTTGTCATTTTTACTTATAATCGCGTATGAAAGCATTCGGCATAGGCTTAAGTTGTGCTTATATGATTCTAATTCTGACTTGTATAATTTTTATACTCTGCAGTCTAAACCCTTAAAGAATTTGAATGGTCAAATCTGTCAAATATGTGGTGATACTGTTGGATTAACAGCCACTGGTGAAATCTTCGTTGCTTGCCACGAGTGTGCCTTCCCACTTTGTCATTCTTGTTATGAGTATGAGCGGAAAAATGCAAGCCAATCTTGTCCCCAATGCAAGACTAGATACAAAAGTCACACAGGTTAGCTTGTGCCATACAAGTTATTTTTTGTGGTCCTTACCTCATTAAAATTTACTATAACCAAGATGAATTTGGATATCAGAGAGTGCTCAAGTGGAGGGAGATGATGATGAAGGTGATGCTGAAGATCTAGAGAATGAGGTCAACTATGGCCAAGGAAATAATACCTCGACGGGGCTGCAATGGGAAGAAGATGCTGACCTATCTTCATCTTCTGGACATGATTCTCAAATACCAAATCCTCATCTAGCAAATGGGCAGCCGGTATGCATTAAACTGATTTTAAGATTCTCATATTGGGACAAGTGTACCAGCCAAAATGTGTGAACTTGTAAACTCACAATCGGTCAAACTTGCGCAGATTCAAACTAGGAAAAGCTTGAGTTAAGTTTGAAATTTATGAAACCATTGAAGATCTTACTCTATGTTTTCATTTTTTATGTTGTGATATGCTTGCTTATGCATTACAGTGTTAATTTTATTTCTAGTAGGCAATTATGTATATATCACTTGTTTTGCAATTGTTTCAATGTAATCTACTAATATAACTAATTGTCTCTTTTTATGATCAGATGTCTGGTGAGATTCCATGTGCTACTTCTGATACTCAATCTGTGCAAACTAGATCAGGTCCTTTGGGTCAATCCGGGAAGGTTCATTCACTTCCCTATGTTGATCAAAAGCAACCAGGTATGGACTATGGAGTCAACCAGAAGTCCAGAAATGGTGGCAACATATTGCATTTTATGGTTATTATGAACTCTTAGATGAAAATATCTTTTTATTATTTACAGCTCCTTTAAGAGTTTTAGACGTTATTGGAAAAAACTTATAATTCTTATTCAATTCCTTTAGGTTAGAAATAAAAGGAAGTGTCTTTTTTCTATAAGTTACAAACTTTTTCATAAAAAGCTATAGTATATCCATTTAAGCTAATTTAAAAAATCCTTATTCAATATCTAAACACTTAAGAATTGATATATTAGTAGTTTTAGTATTATAAGTTTCCTTATTATGTATTTTATACTATATATGATTTTTTTTTCTTTGGAATTTTTTTTCTCTAAAAGCACTAAGTAAACACAAAAGAGAATAGTTAATTTACCCTCTCTTTTCTGTTGTGTTGTTTCCATATAAACAAATAAAATGTTTATCACGATTGGATTAGATAATTCACTGAGTTTTGAACTTTAAGTGAATTTGGCATATTCCAGGTCTTGAGAGTGATGAGGAGATAAGAAGAGTGCCGGAGATTGGAGGTGAATCTGCCGGAACTTCAGCCTCTCGGCCAGACAATGTTTCAACTGTAGGTCCTGAACGTGTTCAAGGGATGAGTGAGGGTCAGAAGAAGAGAGGGAGAAGTCCAGCTGACAAAGAAAGCAAGCGGCTAAAAAGGTATGTATGTGAACTTGATATGGCCTGGCCTCTACTGAAGCCCCTTTTCCTGGGATTTGTTCATCACATTTCGTGATTTGTTTGTTTCACTGACACGGTATGAAAATGGAAATAGGCTATTGAGGAACAGAGTTTCAGCTCAGCAAGCAAGGGAGAGGAAAAAGGCATACTTGAATGATTTGGAAACAAGAGTCAAAGACTTAGAGAAGAAGAATTCAGAGCTCAAAGAGAGACTTTCCACCTTGCAGAATGAGAATCAAATGCTGAGACAAGTATGCCAATTTTGCATATTTAGTTACCATGTCATCATCATCATCATTATCATTGCAATATTATATATACACCTCTAAATCATCGTAACCATCATGTTGTTCTTTCTTTAGATGGACTATGTGAACTTATGCTTTTAACAAAATTCATACACAGACCTTTTAAAATGAAATCATGACTAGCTCTTATTTATTGTTGACTTGTACTCTAAAAAGTGTTCCTATTTTTCTTTTTTTTAAAAGTAACGAATGGGATCTTCATTTTATCATAAGTTTAGGCTTTAGATAGGACTTTATGCATATGATATCAAATAAATATGGTTAAGGAAACTGTCTTGGGTTATACTGGGATTCATGTCATGGAAAAAAAATACTGAGATTCATATGCTTGAAACTTTTCTTATACCAGATCCCACTTGGGTACTTATTTAGTGGACCTTCTGTGCTTTACCAAATAAATTGCATACTGTGTGTCACTTTTGTCTGGCTTAATCTTTCTTAGTCATTCAAGTGTATGTGATTGCTCTTTGCAGATATTGAAGAACACAACAGCAAGCAGGAGAGGGAGCAATAGTGGTACTAATAATGCTGAATAAACTTAGCAAAAAATGGCAGAGAAAACTTAAAGCTGAAGTAGATTTAGAGAGAAAGAGAGAGAGAGAGAGTATATTAGCAAGAAAGAGAAAAAAAGATAAATTAAGTTAGTTTTGATGATTCTTTCTAGGTGTGCTTTTGGAATATCATGAACTAAAGGATGAACCTTGAGACTTGCTTTATCCTAAAATACTGTGGTCTAAAGTCTAATATGGAATTCCATTGTTTATAGTACCTCATTTTCTAAACCACTTTCTTCCTTTTTTCAAATTCTGAAGTGTTTGGAGGTTTAGTTCCTGTGAGGTTTTGGAATAATGGCACTATGGCATGTTAATATTTGGTTGGAGAAATGTAACTATACATGCAATTTTAACAATATCCTCAGACATTAAACCAATTCTCAGTCTACTAATCAGTGAAGTGACCATTCAACGAGGAGATAAGGGGTAGTTGATTAATCATTTGTCAAATATATTTAATTACTTCACTAATGAATTCGAAAGTGGTTGATCTTTATTTATTTGTCACACACAAATGAACGCAATAGGAAAAATGAGATTAAAGAATAAATAATTATTAATTAAATGAGTGGTAAGATGAGAAGTCTATTTATAAGAACAAAATAATTATTCCTAATTCTACATACCAATTAATAAAGGCTAGGTTGCTTTTATGGTTGGATCATCCCTATTTGTATATAAAAAGCCTATTTAATTTTTAATTAAGAACCAACGTTATTTACTTTTTCCTTTAATGTCAAGTTCTCACAGATTTGTATCAGTTCTGTGTAATTGGACCACTTAAGGTCATGATTTGATATCAGTTACCGTCATATTGACATTATTTTAATTTATGAAATTTTGTATACAACGTAAATATTTTTAAATTAAAAGTTGTGTTGTAAACAAAAAATTAAAAAAGTATATTATATATTTGTTTAAATTTAAAATTTTTAAAATATCAATATTAAAATTACTCCAATTTGATTATGGTTATATATATATATATATATATATATATATATATATATTATTTATGACATAAAAAATAATAAAAACAAAAATAATGATAAAGATCACTTTTACTTAATGGTAATAAATGACATGAATAGCTTTAATAAAAATCTAATAATTGTTAATTTTAGTTATTTTATAAAATAATATTAATTTTATTAAATAAACTTTTTAGATAATTAAATATATTTTTAGTAAGCTAATAAATGACATCTAGATATTTTTAAAAAATAAATTTAGATAGTGCAGAAAAGTTGGATATTATAGGATTTTTTGGAGGAATCTAATGCCTCTGGAACACTAATAGAATCAATGTATTTGTTGTAGCAAAAATTAGATTTATTATTTATCTAAAAATCAGTAACTATAGACAGAATGACTAGATTCTCTCCTCTATATAGTGTCTTCAGGATGGATAAAAATCAAAATTTTGAAAAGAACTCATAAAGTTTAGTTCTTCAATAAATATTTTTTGGTGTTTAGTTGATGATTTCAATTATATTTTATATGAAACTACTAAAACTAGGTTGTAAATTATTTTATCTTTTGTTTCAACTTATTAATCTAATTAAATAAATAAATTTAAATTTAAAGTTATGTTCAGTTATTTAAATAAGTTAAACCTAAATTTTGAAAATTTAATATTAATATTTTATGAATAGTTTATATGTATATATATATATATATATATTTAAATAATTATAATTTTATTTATTATATTTACTTCATACTATATATTTTCTTATGATTATGATTGAGTGTATTTATCTAACTGTATTTTTCAAAAGTTGTATTTTAAACAAATGAACATAATTTTTTTAAAAGAAATATACTATTTTTATTAAAAATATTATTTTCAATCTTAAATCATCTTTATATATATAAAATTATAATTTATTATTATTTTACTTTTTAACATAAAATATTTATTAAATACTAAAATAAAAAAACACTTAAAACTTGTTAAAAATTAGACAAATTATAATTTTTTTAACATAAAGTCACGTTCAAGCTTTTAATCTATCTCATTTAAATAAATAAATCATTTTAAGTTTTTTTTTTTCATCACAAGTCATGTCCTTCAACTCATTTACACCCTTAATGATTCATAATAATTAAAGTCACTTCCTTGTTAGCTTAAGTCTTTTCAAACTTAAGTCTCTCTTTTTTCAAATAAGTGAATTTAGTCTCATTTATTTATTTTACTTAAAATCTCACATTTTTATTTGCTAGTTAAAATATTTATAAACTAAATTAATTAAATTATCTTCTGTTCAAAGCTCACCGGTTAAAATGTTAAATTTTTTCTAAAATAAAAAAATATATAAGAACTTACTCTCTTCAAACCATCATCTCACTTTTATATATTTTTTAAAATTTTATTAATTTTTCATTAATTTTTTAGTTTTAAAATTATTTAATCTCAAATCTATTATAAATACCCAAATGTTAGATAGAAATTATCCAAAAGTAAAATTAATTCAAAGTTGAGAAAAGTTCAATTTAACCCTTAAATATTTTGTTAGAAAGAATTTAATTAACTAAAAAAAATATAATTAAATATTTTCCAAAATGTGTATGCTAACATGTTATGATTTAAGTTTTCTTTAAATTCATCCAGAAGTGTATCTAGTTAATTGTTCACATAGTTTCTTTAAAAAAAAAATAGTAAATTTATGTTACCGAATTATATATATATATATATATATATATATATATATATATGTATTTTAATAAAAATTAAATTTTATCAGAATACTTATGCCATAAAAATTAATATTCATAATTAAAATATTTTAATCACAAAACTATGTCATAATCATCTAATATATTCTACTCCAACTCTGTTTTCTTTAAAAATACTACTCCCTCCTCAATCCTTTTTAACCTTGAGCTCCAGATTCTCTCTGTTGCTAACGTTAAAACTTGATTTCATATCAAAATTTCAAAAGGATCACCTTAACAATTTAAATTGCCAATGTTGTAAAAAGAAAAACTGCAAAAATGGTAATCAAGAGCAGTGATGATAATTTTCATTTGAAGATAGAGATTGCCCCATTCCAGACTCTGTTCTTGAGAAAATAGAGGTTACTCGTCCCATTTATATCAGAAATGTTCTTTGATGTATTTACTTTGTTATTATATTTTAATTTACGTTATTTAAACCATTTTTATGTATTTATTAGATGATTTAATAATAGGAAAGAGAAATATAAATTTTATAACAGAGTACTTAATGATATCTTATATCTTGTTTAAATGGATAATTATAATTGTTGAAATATATATTTAATTATTTATATCTTTTTAAGATAAATTATGAACTCCACTATGTTATTAATAATTATGATTATTTTAAATAAGAAAAATATAAAATATCATCTTTATTTTTAAAGTATCATAAAAAGTAATTTTATAAAAAATTTAAAAATACATGCACCTTTTTCTTTGTTCAATCATCCAATAAATAAAAAAGAGTTTTTTTTCTCTAAATATATATATATATATATATATATATATATATATATTTTAATATCAATTGGACCATGTGAGGCAGAGGCCTAACAAATGCAACCTAAAGGCCTTTCTTTTTACGCCCCGGCATTTTATTTCTGCAATTTAATTTTAATAATTATATTTTAAAAGTCACACATTAAAATGTATTAAATTCGTCAAAAATTTAATTTGATTTGAAAATAATTAATAATCACTTCTAAAATTCAATTCATAAAAGTAAAAAAAAAAAAAAATGTTTAGGAAGGTACAAATAAAAAAAATGAGAGTGGGAAAATAGATTCCCCACAACCAATGATGGGAACAACACTTTGAATATTTACAGAGAAAAAGTGCTTTTGGGGATTCCGTGAGAATTGTGATATGAATTTGTAGAATAGCCACAATTGGAAAGAATGTGAATCAAATGCGTCAAAGAACAATAAAAATCCTAAAGTAATAAAGGAATAGGCAGAAATTCTATACTATCCATAGTGTAGGGATTTCTCTCTTTCATTATTTTTAATTTATATATTATCTCAAATTATATTTAGAAATGATTTTGGATTATAATATTATGAGTAACTGTCTGTAATTTACATGGGGAAAAATAAATTTAATTACATTAAAAAATGCCCGTCAAATAAAAAAGTATAATTGAAATACCATTATTAATAAGAAAGAAAAAGATTGTAAAATACTTGGTCACTTTTCTTATAACTATTAATTCATTATCAAGTTGAGTCAAATAACTTGCCTATTAAACATGACATCACTTTGTAAGAAAAACTTCCCACTTTCTTGAAGCTCAAGAAAAAAGAACTTGGGTAAATCTTCATGATATCTACATATAGCCATTTGTTATTCATAGTTTATCCATATACAAGTTTTTGATACCTTGTTATTTTATATGTTCATGTGTTCTTTGTTTTCTAATCCTATCTTCTTGTATTAGCAAAGCTCTCCTTTTGTGTTTCCCCTCTTCCTACTCTTATTTTATACCTTCTTCTTGTACAGCATTGACATTAGTCTTCACCCTGTTAGAAATTTCACTTTGTCAAGTCCTGATATCACTTATGTCATATTGATATTTAACCAATTTCTTGAGGGTTAATTGCAACTTTGACACATTAATTTTTTGTTAGCTGAAATATATTTGTTCATAAGAAATATCCTAGTCAATATTTAAATTTTGTTTACTTTTAGTCTTTATATTACCAAAAGAGTATATTATTAGTCACTCACTGAGGATTATAAGCACACAAGTTTTATAATTATCAAGGATTATAAGCCAATAAAATTTAGATAGTGTCTAAACCCCAAAAAAATTGATGAATTTTTAGAAGTTGAGAATATATTGAAACCAAATTATATTTTTTCAATCCTTAAAAAATGATGTCAAGCAAGAAATGTTTCAAGGAAACTGCCCACCCTTTTCTTTCCCTTTATCAAATTATAACCAAAAGGTTGGCAGCTTTTGTTTGGTTTTTTCAAGCATCGTATAGTACTATATCTTTCTTTCCTTTAGACTAAACATTCTGACTACATATTCATATTATTTTGAGAATGATAACAAAAGCTTAAATATGTTTTGGAAAATCTAATGAAATTTGATTTTAATCTTTGTATAAAATTTATTTTATTGTTAGTTTTATGACATTTTTAAAAGTTAATTGCTGATTTTAATTTATCTTGTTGTAACTTAGTGAAAAAAGTAACATGTAGTTTAAAATTAACATGTGATAATATTTCACTTAGTTATCTTATCATTTAACAGTGACTAAGAATCAACATAAGTTTATAAAAAATGTACGGTTTAAACATATTTAACTTTCTAAAAATTGATTTTAGTGTTAAATATGTTTTTAATCCCTTTAAATAATATTGAAATTTAGTTTTCATCCTTATAAAATTAATAATGTTGGTCCTTAATTAATCATAATTAAATAATGATGTATCAAACTCAAATATTATCATATGTTAATTTTTGTGCCACATGTTATTTTTTTATAAAGTTATGTTAATAAGAGTGACAAAAATCATATATTTTTAAAAGTATATAAACTAAAAAAAAATATTTTATAGAAATATAAATTAAAATTCAAGAAATTTTGAAGTACTAAAAATATTTTAAAACCTTTCTTTTATTTGTTTTTTGCTTCTTGCAAACATAGTTAAATTATATTGAAAAATGGAAACTACTAAACCATGTTTATACATGTTCTCTATAAATTTTATTGCTCTACTTAATTGTCATCTCTTAAGGATTGTTTGGAAAAGGAGATTTTGAAGAAGATGGGAGGACATAAATTTATATTTTAAATAAATATAGTTAATAAAAATTTAATATATTAATAATGTATTTGCTATTGTAAACAATATATAATTTTTTAATTTAAAATTAAAAAATATGTCCTCTCCTCCCTTATCCAAAAATCTCCTTCCAAACAACTCTTGTTGTAGAACACATTTTAAGAGTAATACTCATCCATAGCTAACAAATTTTTTTTGTGACATTAGATTGTATCTAGATCTATATTGAAGTGAGATCAATAATAAATCCATATACAATTACAATGACCCTGATCTTTAATGCAAGGAGTGAGTGTGTAGTATTTTACTTAACAAGAATATGTACTCTTTGCCTAAACATTTTATGATGAATTTGATGACCATAAAATAACAGAGTTACATTAAGGTCATTAGATGCAATAATTTATGATACACAGGACAATGAAAGAAGCAATCCATTATAACTGAAAGTAGAGAATATGTTCATCTAGAAAAGAGTGTAAAAGGGGATAACATGTATTTTACATAGAACCTGAAGGAAGGAGCAGAAAAAGAAGTAAAGACAAGAATGGGTTGTGACTCAAATCCTGGAAGGGATAAGAGGGATAGTGTTCAGTAAGTATGCACTGGCAGCAGCAACTCCACTTCCAAGCCTTACAGGGTACCCCACATCTTTGAGTATCATCTCCACACCAGCAAGACAACCCAAGAGTTGCAACTGCAAAATATTCAAAGAATTAACATATCAAAGGTTGGCACCTACCAACTCAGTGGTAACATGAAGGATTCACAACTATAATTTGATATTACATGATATATTAAAATTATCTAGTGTGCTAGAAAGAACTCAACCTTGGTGCCATTCCTATCATATCTGTGAAGTTTGCAAAATTGAAGTTGGACAAAAAGTACATCAAAACCGGAATGGAATGAATTTTGAAGGTTAATATATAACAACCAAGAAAAATAAAGAAAAAATTATGATTGTTTTAACATGTGTCTTTAGATATAAGTTAAGAACTTTTTCCTGCCTAATAAATGCATTTTCTTTTGCATAGGTTTAACAAAAATGTTATGTATATATTGATTATTCAATAATTACTTTAATTTGAAGATTGATTTTGAAACATTAAGTAGTTGTTTGTTTTACAGTTAAAAAAATAATTTCACACTTAATAAAAATATAAAATTCAAATTAATTTATATACTCATCTCAATCATATTTAACAGTTTAAAATCAATTTTATCAAAATTAAATATACTCAACTTTAAACCAAATAAGCACTAAATTTTTTCCGCTGCAAACAAATGCAACCTGTGTGTTCTAACAGTTTAGTTCCATGATTATGCTGGAAATTAACATTACCTCATTCAAGTTGCCAAGATGTCCAATTCTGAAAACCTTGCCAGCAACTTTGTTCAGTCCAAGACCTAAGCTCAAATTGTATCTTTTCCATGCCCTTCTAACTATTTCAGTACTATCAATGTAAGAAGGAACAAGAACAGCAGTTACTGTGTCACTGAACCACTCTTCCTTTTGGGTGCAATTCTTCAAACCCCAAGCTTCTACAGCAAGCCTGTATTTGTCACAGTGAGGACCTATCAGAATCGTTGTCTTACACATATAACCAAAAGTTAAAACTACTATCAACTTTGACAAACCTTTACTCATTTGTCACTTAGGAAGTACATATACTTCAAAACAGTAACCATCTTTGTGTTGTATCGTGTTGAATATGTATTTATATTAGATTTACTTATATTTGCATTTTTTTAAATCTTTATGTCAATAAAAATTCTTATGCTACATCATGTTTATAATGACTCCATTTGCCATATTTATAGTCAGTGTGGATAGTCTTTGGTACCATGTTAAATGTGGACTTAAATCTAACTCAATCCCAAAACTAGTTGGTAAAGTAAGAATTGCTTTAACCTTTATAAGCTCTTATTTAATTATATCTATAGTCCATGTAAAACTTCAATAATATCTGTGTCCTATGTCATATCCATGCTTCCTAGTTTGTCACACACTAACATTTCTTTTACACAGTGTATTCCTTAAAAATTATTTTTAAGCAAGGAAATTGTGCCTCACCTGGTTGCATTGCCTAAACGATTGTGCCTTGCAATTACATTTTCCAGTCCTTCCTCAAAAATGAGATCAAGAGCTGTTCTGAGACCATAGAGAAGTTGAATGGAAGGAGTGTAAGGCCAATAGGTTCCTAACTGGTAGAACTTAAGGTAGTCTTTCCAATCAAAGAAGACTCTAAGTGATCTAGCAGTTTTTGAAGCCTCAATAGCTTTAGGGCTTGCAACCACCATACCAATCCCTGTGGGAAGGGAAAGAGCTTTCTGGGAACCAGTTATGGCCACATCTACTCCCCATTCATCCATTCGGAAATCCAAAGCACAAATTGAAGACACTCCATCAACAATAAGGAGGGCAGGGTGGTGGTAGGAATCTGAGTGTTCAAAGAACAGTGTGAGAATCATTTCATAAAGACAATGAAAAGAAACATTAAAAATTCAAAGGATGGTGATTACAAATGATTAAAGACAAAAAGATTTTGTGGCTCTGGCATTTCATAGTGAATAAAGGATTCAAATGTGTAGCCTCAATGAGTAAGAAAAGGTATGATTTAAGACCATTAGATAACTTGCTTACCAAGAATTTGTCTCACTTTGGCTAAGTTATTGGTGACACCAGTTGCAGTCTCATTGTGAACAATGCAAATTGCCTTTATAGTGTGTGCAGTATCTGAAGCAATCTTTGATTCCAGAATGTCAAGCTTAGCACCCTGACCCCATTCACTTTCCACAACATCAACATTAAAATTCAGGCGTTGCTGCTGATCAATCCAAAGCAAGCTGAATTGACCAATCAGAAAAGATACAATTCTATCCCCAGGAGACAATGTGTTTGTGAGAGCACTCTCCCAAGCACCAGTACCTGAATCAAATGCAAAAACATTACTTGATATTCATAGCAAGAAAGCTAATAAACTATAACCATGTGAATAACAAATTATTTGTTATAATTGGATCACCTTAGCTTCAATGCCTTTAACCTCTAAAACACACTAAATAACAAAGAAAGAGATAAACTCAATAAAACCACTATTCTACCAGAACATCATACAATGATCCTTCAGTCAAATTTCGTTTACTTAATAATATTTAATCTTCATATCATGGTCCCAAAAGGGTATATAATCTAAGGAGTAGATTGAGCGTCTAAGTTACCAATGTATGATAACTATTCAAGTGAACATTATCCTAATTGTTAAGGTCTAATTGATTTTAGGAAAATTGCAAATTAGCACCCTGAAGTTTGGATAATTTGCAACTTAATCCTTGATCTTTAAAAATGTGTATTTTAGTCCTTAACATATTCAAAATTTGCAGGATAGCCCCTCGTTTAGTTTGCTCATTAAAAGTTGACAAAATCCATCATGTGATAGGTACCTAACTCATTTTATTCTTATCGTTAGTAAAAATACCAAATTAGCTCCTCAAAGTTTGGGTCATATGCAACTTTCCCCATGACCTTTGAAAAAGATGTATTTCAATCCTTAACAATTTTTGAAAGTGCAAGATAACCCAACCATTAATGGAAATAAAATGAGTTGTGTTTTAATCACATGATGAATTCTATAAATTTTTAAATTGAGAGTAACTTGCACATGACCCAAACTTTATCTAAAATTTTTCGACTCCAAAAGCTCTTATTTAGTTATATCCATGACGAAGAACTTCAACTCTTAGAATGTTAATTAACATTTTTCTCTTAATTTTATGAAACTAAAACTATAACATAATTCAATGATAGATTTGGCTTGATCATACCAGTTGTAGGGATGAGAAATGGGGTTCCAGTAGTTGTCTTGAAAATCTTCTTGACATCCTCAAGCAGTGTTTTTGTCAAAGCTGGAATTGCTGGAGAACGGTAATCCTCATTGTTTCTGTTCATAGCCCGAATAACCTGTTCAGGGATGTTAACTGGCCCTGGAACAAAGAGATGGTGCCTTCCTGGTCCATTAACATAATCCATCTTCCCCTGCTTCAAATTTCAATCTCTTTCACTTCAAGCAGTTCTACCTCTTCCCACCAAAGAATTTCCTATATGAAATGAAATCCATTTAAAATAATTAGTCTTAATAATTTTCTGAATCATTGGTCATAAGCTTTGGGCTTTTAATACTGAATTATTGTTTTCATTATTCCATGGTTGAAGAAATTTGCAACTGAAATATGAACCAAAATTCTGCATAGTGAAATTATGAGCTACAAAGGCAATAACTTATAAAAATTCCGTTTAAATGCTCTTAAATGTAGACGTTGTGAAGGTGAATAACAAAACCGTAAAAGTTGACGAAAAGAGAGAACAAAATTGGTTTAAGGTGTAAACTGTATCATTAAGTAATAACTATTGTAACCCAAAAAAAGTTAAGTAATGAATAATGTTTTTTGGTTTATCATTATAAGAAAAACAAACAAAATAAATAAAACTTATCATCCTTTTCCATCAACAGTTTTGTTCCGCTTTTAAAACTATAATTTAAAATATGCTTTCTGTGTGTGTTTTATGCTTGTGTTTGTCTAGATTTAAAAACCCTTTCATGAAATTAATAAGACAAATTGAACTTATACGATAAATACTTATTATAACTGCTTCACAGCTGAATTCCCTGCTGTGCCGAGCTTAAATAAAAACATATTGTAACAAAAAGTAAACTTTATACGAAAAACTGTGATATTACAAGGATAGAACTTTCATTCAATAGCATGATCAAGAGGAAATCATAGAAAAATTTCTTCATAAGCATGGTTTTGTGATTTTTGCAACTGAAAATCTTAGTGGGAAACACATCTTTGAATCCTCCCCTTTACTTTTCTTTTTCTCTATTTCACGTGAAGAAGACACAAATCATAATATACTGGTGAACAGAACAAGATGAAACAGCTGCTTTGGGTTGTAATTTGCACACAAATAATAAAACTAACATATGAAAAAAATGTCTGCCTTACTAATCATTCTTAATAAAATTCAAGTGAAAGAACCAACTTAAAACACTCAAATTTAATACACACACACACCATATATATGTATATGATGTGGAAGAGAAAATGAGAAATAGTGGGTATACGTGGGAAGGAGAATCCTTAGTTTTGAGGAATTTGCAGAAGAAAGGAAGAACTGTGTCAGTGTCTTGTGTTTCATAACAGAACCTTATTATATAAAAGTATAAATGTAAAAATTTATTTTTTATAACGAAGAGCGCGGGAGAACCAATCAAAAGCCAAGGTGGGGCCATGTGGTGTCCCAAGTGGCAGATAAGAGGAAGAAACTGAGCACCTTGCGGCTGAAATTGGATGAAGAGGGAACACTCACTTCTGGCTTGGATTTGCTCTGAAATGGCACATCATATCAACAAATGTTTCCAGCTTCATCTCTAAATGGTTATCCATTGTCAAAATTTCTTGCTCCCTCATTTTCTTATTATTATTTTTTTTATCATTATCATCATTGATATCATAATATATTTATAAGAATCTCACATGATGTCAATATAAAAATAGTTTAACTTTGATTATAATGAAATGCTCAATTCAATTTCCAAAAAATAAAACACCTTTTACTAGATAATACTAAACTTATCTAATATTTAAAATTAGTACATACAAAAAAATATTTTTATTTTATTTAAGTAAATTTTTTTAGATTAAATAAAAAGTGAGAATTAATAAAGGTGAATGGAAACCACCCTCACATGTTATTAAATGTGAACGTTTAAACTTCTGTTCATTGAAGTTGATGTGCATGGAAATAAGTAATAAGAGAATATTTTACTGCCATACAATATTGGGAATTTGAAGGTTGAGGCTAAGAAAGCAATATGAAAGATAAAGAGATAATAGAATCTCAACCACACTTCACTTGTGGGAAATGAAGCCACACTGCTATCTCTTTTGTGCTTATGTGGATTTCTTTTCAATGTTTGGCAGCATCCTCCAAGTTTGTGGCTGCTTACAAAGTGTTCCACGTATGGGCACTAGCTGTCACAATGAGCAGTGTTTCTCATGTATTCTTCGTCTTTTGTTTCTTTCCCTTTGTAGTTGGGTTCATTTTCACTTTCTTCATTTCTCAAAATGCTAATTCAACAATGTAGTTTAAATAGTATATAAAAATCATTAGATTCTTAACCCCCTTAGATATTTAGTTAGACAAATATGATCATCTGTAAGTGTCTAAATTTTCTCACATTTTGCATGACAAGTTTTCATCGTTGTACACATCTAGAAATGCACGATGCTTCGTTAGTTACACTTACCAATCTTTAAATTTCAATTGAGAGCATACCATTTTTACCATAACATTTAAAATAACCAACGTAAACATGGTATAGATATAAATACAATACCGATCATCCAGATCCAATTTCCTCATAAAGCAAACAACATATTGGATTTATTATACTTGTATTTCTTATTAATGAAAAATAATTATGAGAATAAGTAACAACTTGTATTATCTTAAACTTATACAGATAAAAATAAATTTATTTTATCTCTAAAGAAATGAATAAGAATAGAAAAAATATTTTAATACATCAAATCTTACTTTCCACCTAAATCACTATCCCCTCCCTCAGTAAGTACTTACGCCCAAGCAATAAATAACATCAAATTCCAAGAGAAAATGAAAAGAAGATAATGAGATTAAAAGAGCGTTATTAACAACCACCACACCAGGACTGTTCCCACAAGAGTCTGCTACATAGATCAAATTATGCCACAATATTATGTTATAAACAATGTTAATATACAAATTATTATTACTAAATAATGAACAAATGATCCAATAGTTCTTACACCTCCAAACAAAGGGGAAGTGAGCCATTTTTTCTGCAATTTGGCAGGCCTTATCCTCAGAATAACACAAACTTGGATTCATATGGAAGCATATGACTATAGTTTGCAAGAGCGCCTTGTGTGATGTAAAATTATCCAACACTTGTACGTATTCTATCCACTACGGCATCTGAACAATTCAGTTAACTATCTCGTCATAACCCCCGCAAACCAAAAGCACGGAATTATATATATATAGAAACAGAATAATGTCTACATTTGAACGAAAGAATTCGAGAAATCCAAATTCTTAAAGATGCTGGATCAACGTAGTAATAATTCATCTGGATACACACACCTGGAAATGTAACAATCAGGCTGAAATAGAAACTTTGAGCACGAAGCCAAAAATTAATTTTCATTCACTAAAGAAATTAGTTGAAAGAGCTACACAAAATTGAGGTTATAGTTAAATTTACTACAAAACAAATACATTGGTGTGTACCAGCTAACATAATTAGCATGGAGCGAACGATAAAGTGCAAAAAATAGGCAAAACTTGTAATATACACTTTCCTAAGTATCTCTATAGCAAGTAAAATGTGTTTCTTTTCAAGATTTTTAGTATATAACACCTCGCTTGGCTCATCATCGAGTAAGGGTAAAAGCTAAAGGGAAAAAAGGAGGGAGAAAAAATGGACAAGTTTGCATTCATCTTGCATGCCAATGCCAGGTCGTCACTGGCTTCAGCCACCTTGTTCAAGGATGCAAATCCTTTGTCTAGGGGATATTTCTCAGATCACCACAGGACACCAAAAAGGGATCTGAAATATCTTATTCCCAAAGGTGGAAAGAAAAAGTTCCAGAGAATATACAATAGCTGAAGCTGAGTAAATGCAGAGTGAAAGCAACAGCCAAACGCTACAGGTATCAGCCATTTTGATCCCACATAACTGACTACTCGATTCCTGACGAGAATCCTTGTCTTGATGGAAACCCACTAGGTCGGGTCTTAAAAGGTTTCTCGCTAGCGAAACGTTTGTCAGATGGTCCAGCCCCAAGGATCCCCAGTGAATTAGGATCTGGAATCCGAATCCCATTACTCATGGTTCTTTGAGGTGGTAATTGACCCTGGAAATGACCATTGCTTTCAGATCTTCTTCTTCGTTTCCATGCCTCAGACATGTCAGTATTATTCATTGGTTCTGCCATTTGGTAGGCAGTCATGTTTTTGTATCCTCTTTGCTTCTCCATCTGGCGAGGGAATGGATAAGAATGATTAGGGTTTCCATTCCTGCTAAATGGACCAGATACTGACCCATTAGCATGAGAAGGGCCAACCCCCGCCAAATTTTGCTCCATTTTAAGTTTTGAATAAATTTGATGAAGCCTCTCCCCTGAAAGATGGGAAAAGGTGGAAACATACTTCCACAATCGCATGGTCATTCCTGTAAATAAGGAAAAGAAATCGCCTTTTTAGCAAGAATTATAAAATACACAGATAAAACCAGTCCTCTAAGTAAATAGGAAATGGTAAGTGCTTAAGAAAATGAAAAGGATTGAGACATGCATAAAACAGACCTTTTTACCAAGAAAAGAAGGTTACTCAAACACAATATACAGAATGGGAATAAAGTACATACTATCTTGCTTATAGGGTTCCTCTTCATGTTCGAACACAATTTGATCTATTCTTCGCCCAAGAAGCTGTAAGTAGTTGCGAATTTTTGAAAGCACCTAAAGTAGAGAAGAAAAAACAAGTAAATAGCATTTAACATTGAAAATAGACCATAAAAATGGATAGAAGCCCCCAACAATAAGTATACCTTTTCCTTTGGAAGATTGGCACTGGTTGTCTGCAATCTGTGAAGACGTTTCAAGGTTTTCATTTCTTCAACCATCACATCTTGACACCATTCCATCCATTTTACTTCCTTGAATTGTTCATACACTTCTTCATCATCAGACATTTCACCCTCCTCTTTCACAATTGGTTCAACTTTTAGGGATCTCTGAAGTCTATCCTTTCTCATTTGGACATTAAATTTAGAAGAACCTAATTGTTTCTTTTTCTCCTGCCCACGTGACAATGAGATGTTCACAATATGTTCTCTCTCTTTCTTAGAAGGCTTCTTCCCAACTTTGCTATAGGAACTTTTCACACCAAGAGAAACCAGCTCCTACATGATATACTGAAGGCATCAGCTTGAGCTATCCAAGTCCATAGACAATAAGAAAAATGTAGCACCAATGCAAATGGCAGATAATAAAATTTGAGTGCAACAATGTATAATCATGAATTAACAGTACAAACACATTTGGAGGTAAGCTGAAGATCAGAAAACAGGAAGGGGAGGATGAGATCTTAGAAAGTGTACGCAAGGAGGAAAGGATATGATGGTTGTTAACGGTTACTTCAAATCTTCTCAACCCAACTTACTCACTCTAGTATATTTGATTTCAGGAATGAGATAAAGTCATCCCCTAAAAACGGCAGCCTTCACAATCGAATTAGGAAAGCAACAAAATATAAACCACGTTTGTCAATGCATTGATTAGCTTGTCATGCACAAAAATGGATCTGTAAGAATGTGAGTCTGAACAAAGCTTACAGCAATGCTGCCCTATGCATCTAGCTTTAACTATAGTCTAGAAGGAAAGCAAACATGTAAAGAAAAGAGGAAGGCAGGAATTACAAATGCATCTAGCTGATAAAATACTATATACAGGAAGAGAAAAGGAAAACAAAATAATACGATAAAGTGATGGTATACTTGCTCCAACAAAGCATTAGCACGGTCTCTCAAGTTTGGAGCTCGTGGCAAGAAAGTTTCATGGTGTTGAAGTTCCACCGGTGCTATTTTCTTCGTAAGACCAAGCCTTTCATCTAATCTTATATTTTCCCAATTACCAAATCCATGATAATATACTCCAAGAAGCAATCTTGCATCATCAACTATTAACAAGTAAAATAGAATCAGCAGAAGCAGCAATTGAACCCATTCCTCATAATGAAAATACAAACTACATAAAGTATAGCACCTACTTTGATTCCACCCACAACCTTTTGACCAGTTTGAAGGTTTGAGATATGTTAAGACGCGGAACTGTGAAATGGGATCTTCATAACGACTAATGCGCTTTGCCAGGAGTTGAAGTCCTTGAACACGGGTAAGTAAATCATTTGCCTTTACTGGGACACCAAAAAAATCCAACAAAGGTCCCTGGATGCAATTCACAATATTACATGTAATAAGCAACTAAGTAAATAAAGAAAAATACAAATAACCAATTTCACATGTGCTCTGAGAGAGAATTTAATGTTATACAAACCTTGGGATCCAGACTTCCAAGTTCAATAGCTTCAGTACAGCCATCAATTAAAGCATTGAACAATTCAATTTGTGCTTCAGGTGGAGCTGCTCCTACAGTACCACCTACCTCAGCAGCAATTAAGTTGATTTGGCTCTCATTGCCAAATTTCATAACCTGGTGATTTATTGAGGATAAGCACGCGACAACAAATATATACGAGTAAAATGACAAAAAGGATACATGTACCAGACACACACACACATGTATAACAAGTATGAGCTCAGAAGATGAGACATCAATAGCAAGAAAAAGACAAGGGAGTATATTAATCTAAGGGAGTTATCAACGAAAGCCATCAAAATAACCATTTGCCTTGACCCACAGCATCTCAGAAAATCATTCTCTCCACACACCAAAAAAAAAGGGTGCAAGGGTGGAGATATGCAGAACAAGCATTTGAGCTTACTTGATTCATGGTCAACCTTAGGCCCAGCATATGAGTGCACACACATATGCCCATACGAGAGAGGAAAGTGTCTGCAAGCTTGCTTCAGACTTATGCATGTTGGGAAAAAAGTATTATTTTTGGTAAATCATACATCACTATGAGTAATAGTAATTCTTAAATTTAGGTTTGGCCTAACTCAATTCAAAAGGCTAGCTCGTAAGGTAAGGATTGTCTTAATGTTTACTAGTTATACTTTGGCTCCCTCACGTTCACAATTGGATATTTGGAGCATGAAATTTATAGACTGGGAAAGCTGTGAGGCTAGGTAGATTGCACTGGAAAAATCCACAAAGTCAAGTTAATTGCACTAGAAAAATATGTGGAGCCCTTTTTTTTTTTCACTCAAGAGTGATCCAATATCAAATATTATAGGGGCTCTAATATCTTCTTAAATTTGGACTTAACCTAACTCAACTACAAAAGCTAGTTTGTAGGGTCAGAATTGCTTGAACCTTTATAAGATCTACTTAAGCCATATATGTGCTCAATGTAGGATATCAAAAGCAATATTTTAGAATAGTATTTTAGAATTTCTTAGCATATCTTCAAAATATATTTGTAAAATCTTAGATCTTTAGAATATATAACAAAATCAATTAGTTCTCTAATTGTGGAAGCAATCTCTGAAGATGTTTCCTAATTCATTATTTTAACATACAGGTGTTGCTGTATTGGTGGGCTTGGACTTTGGGCATCTACTAATAATACTTGCACTTCACCTATTTCCTAGTGTCAATATATCAGGGCCATTTCATATCAGGTTATAAATATTATTGTTAGTGGGTTTGTACTAGTATTAGAAGTACTGGTTTTTAACCTAACTATTAGCATAATTAGAGATATTATTAGGGTATTGTATCGTAATCATATTAATCTTGTGACAAATATATTACTGTTTTTTTTAACTGTCTCATCTTACCATCTTGTAATTCTACTACAAAGTGATGCCATCCACCTTTAACATCTAGCCTTTCTGCAGTGTTGAGTTCATTGAACTCAGTTCTATACTACTTCCTCTATTTTTTTCCCCCTAAACCTCCTTGCTACATGGACAGTTGAACGGCCAAAGCTGCCAACGAGGTGCAACAGGAGTAAGTGACTAGCTCGGGATTACTCACCAGCAAAAAATGTGGCAACTGATCTGATCTCAACTCTCACGAGAGTTTTTCATCAGTCCTCAATTTCCTATTTCAGAATAGATTCCTATATTATTTTGCCCAGAATTTTAGTTTCTCTAGTGTGATTGCTTCCGCTTTGATTAGGGCAAGATTCCAATTCTGAGTAGTCGGGTACTTTCTACCTGAAGGTTGCTAAAATTTCAGGTTTTACATTTAAGGATTTTCCACAATGTGGTTTGTTCCTCCAAGAGCGAACTGCTCAGGATGAAGGATGTTCCAGTTTGGTAATAGTTGTTCTGCTGTTAACGTGGTTGTAATTTTAAGACTTTGGGAACAAGGAAAGTGTTTTTTGTACATTACCAAGTGGTTTGAATCCGACCTAGTGTTTTAAGGCCACTGAAGAAAAAGGCCCAAGAGTTCAAAAACTGCATCTTTTGATTGGGATGTGTGTGGAGTGAAGCGAGGAAAAGATTGAAGATTCCTAGGAGCTATCCACCAAGGGCATTGCCAAAACTCTGTCATACAGGGAGAGAACTACTAGCTTAAGTTTGTTGGTTGAAATGGGTTATGTCTTATGCTTGCAAGTTTGATAATTGTACCAAGCTAAAGCTTAGCAAGAATTAATTCGATAATTAAGTGGTATTTGGCTCAGCATTTTTTGGGTTCTCTCCTCCTTAAAAAGACAATTCAGGCCATACACAAATTTAGAAAAGCACTTAAAAAAATAGAATATTTTTTTAAATGAATGAAATCCCAAAAATTGTATCTTTTGTAGAAGCTTAATAGAGGTTGTTCAACTTTCAAGGAGGAGAGAAGCCCAAACAAGTTTGGCCACACACTGCCTTAGTACAGTTAGGCATTGATGTTGTATTTCACATTACACCAAAGCAGCAGCTTCATATCATTTTATTAGAATCTCTATCAACTTTTCCTCCTTTATCTAAACCCTATAATTTCAATAATAAGTAATAATCAAACAAACTCTGACATCTATTTGACGTTTAGCTCCACCTCAATTTCCAAAAGTGCACTAACTTCACTGATTTAATTTTAAGCTGGAAATTGAGCCTTTCCCTTAACAGCTTGGGTGAATTTTGAATATCCAATTTTTCCATTATCTTCAGCTCAACTATGCACCAACCACCAATTTCATCTTTTCAATTTTCAAGACAAGCTTGTAAAGTTTAGGCAGATCCTGCAGCACCTAGTTAGCTACTTTTGTCTGGGATGGTGAGGAGAAAATGGCATGCAACTGACTGCGAATGATGATTATCAGCAATATATATGTAAAGCAAACCATACAGGGTCTGCATCTATTAATGCATGCTAGAAGTAATAGATCTTCGTATAGGTATATAAAACTGAAAATTGCCAACCATAAAAGAATCTTACTGAGCGTGAAAAACGGAGTGCATCCCTTTTGGACAAATTCCCATATGACCAACTTCTCACTTGGGCAGAAGCTCCATCAATCATTGGTGTTGCAGGAACTGAATTCTCTGCTTTCCGGCGTTTCTGAACTCGTTCAGGTAGTTCACTTTCCTTTTTTTTCCTTTTACTACTTCTTTCAGATTGATAATCCTCTGCATAGCTTTTAATATTCCTTGCAGCACGTGGAGCAAGAGCATCCTAAAACAGGAAAATAAGGCAATATAAAATGAATTTTTTTTAAAACTGGTAGCTTAAACAAAAGCAATAATAAACCCTGTTCACATTTAATTCTTACAAAATCATCAAGCAACATTTTAAACAAATTCTATAAAGAATATATCATAAAATGGCACAAGACTGAACCTCTGCTTGGGCAACAGCATCAGGCTTTATCCAACGACTCCAGAAACTCCCATCATCTTCGTCATTGCAGAAATTAGCAACCTGCATAGAAAGAAATTGAACAAGGGAAACAATTTAGCAATTTCCCACTCCTGTCCAAATATATCCTATTCCCAGCTCAAAAACACAAGGCAATAATAATAATGATTACAACAAAAGAAATAATGTAAAACAATAAATTTCATAATGCTGCTCAATTAACTTGCCTTAAAAGCACTCAATAACTCGTGTGCTTGCTCTCCCTCATTTTCCTTCTCTTCAACCTTCTCTGCTCTTTCAAGAATCTCATCTATGTCCATACTTAAGAGTCGTTTCTTGCTTTCTTCATCATTTCTTTCTTCCTTGAAAAGCTCCTCTGCTCCAAACCTTAATATTGCTGACAGCTCATTCTGCCACATATGAAGCAAATGTTTGATACAGTAGTTGTGCAATAAAACCAAAGAAAATACACAGACTATGTAAACAAAAATGATTCAATGCAATTCATTAAATTCAAATGGACAACAATATAGCACCATCGGTTCAATCCTGTATTTTCTACAAAGAACTCAGCAAAATGAAAGCATGTTAATCATTGAAATTCAGAACAGTTTTCACATATGTCCTTACTTTGTCAAAATAACTTCCTCCTTTTTTGGCTTCTTTCTTTTCCAATCTACCCTCTGCATTTAGTTTTTGAATCACCAAGTGGTCAAGAACCTATAGAACACACAAGAAAAATTATGTAAATTTAATGGTACATCAACAAGCATCATATATCTGTACAGAGTGGCAGGTAAACATATCCTAAAAAATTGATGCCAAAAATCATTAAGTGCGTAAAAAGTGAAGTATACAAAAGTTAAGTCAAAGAAAAAAAAAATTAATACAATCATTACATCCAATGATTCTAATTACCATCTTCTTCTTAGCACGTTCTAAAATATCTTCCTCGACACTTTTGCTTGTCACAAATCTATATATGTTAACAACTTCTTGTTGCCCAATTCGATGTGCTCTACTCATTGCCTAAAAGATAAACAGCAGTAATAGTAAGTACTGAGAATCCTTTCTTAATTAAATAAAATAAAATAAGTCCATACCTGCAGATCATTTTGGGGATTCCAATCTGAATCAAATATTATAACAGTGTCTGCTGTGGCAAGGTTGATACCCAATCCTCCTGCTCGTGTTGAAAGAAGGAAGCAAAAATCATCACTACCTGGTGCATTGAAATGATCCATTGCCTGCTGACGCAGCTCAGCTTTTGTACTTCCATCAAGCCTCTGATATTGAAATCCTCGAAGTGACAAATATTCTGCCAGTATATCTAACATCCTAACCATCTGCATTAAACCGCTGATGACTTAGAATTATCATAAACTATTGCATAAAGGTAATAAATAGTGGAATAAAAGCTTTGCAGCCCCCTCCCCCCAACACACATACATACATAAAAGTGAAACAGAAATAGTTAAAAGTTAAATATGAATTTCATAGCCAACTCTTCATGAATCATCCACGATAAATAACTCAAAATCTGTGATGATATTTGGTACTATGGACAGAAGCAATCTTCCGCACACTGCAAAACTTCCTTCCAGTTTGGGAATAATTGTTTGGCATTTTCTATGATCCCTACTCCATAAAATGAACTTTTGTCAACTCATTTGCAATTGAACCCTACTACTTTGAATGGCTGCAGAGCTTATGACCAGAAAAGAGTGAAGCTTGAGTTTTCAACTAGGAATTCTTTCCTTTGCAATTTTATGTGATCATAGTTAATTTATTATGATCGGATACCAAGAGAATTGTTATGGAAGGCTTTAAAAAGAAAGGAGTCCGTATAGCATATACTCAGGCTATACAAGACATGTATGAAAAGTAACTACATATATGAGAACTTCTATAGCTGTATCTAAGGACTTCCCAATTAGAATAGATTTACATCAAGACTCTGCTTTGAGCCCTTACTTGTTTAATCTTATTTTAGACGTGCTTACAAATGATGCACAAGATTATCCTTTGGTGCATGTTATTTCTAAATGATATAGTGTTAGTCGAGGATTTGAAAAAAGAGGTTAATCTTAAACTTGAGTTATGGAAGGAGACTTTAAAATCTAAAGGTTTTTGCTTGAGTAGAAGTAAGATAGAGTACATTTATTGTAGGTTTAGCAAAAAAATAAAATGAGGATCATGCGTTGGAAAGTTAAACTTGTAGATAATATTGTCACAAGTTCCCAATTGTAAGTACTTGAGATTAATTATACAAAATAATGAAAAAATTAATAAAGATGTTAGTCACAAAATACAAGTTGGGTAGTTAAAATAGAAAAAGGCATCAGGAGTTATTTGTAACCGTAAAGTACCTATCAAACTGAAAGAAAAATTTTACTGTAAAGCAATACAATCAGCTATCTTTTATGGTAGTGAATGTTGGACCTTAAAGTAATAACATGAGAAAAAAGTGGGAGTAACAGAAATGAAAATACTAAGGTGAATAACTGAACACACGATAAATAGCAGGAAACAAAATGATAATATACAAGAGAATATTGGAATACCACCTATAGTGAAAAATATAACTGAAAATCATTCCAAGCGGTTTGGTCATGTGCAAACAAGACCTTAGGAAGCACCAATAAAGAGAATGAATTGCATAACTCTTATTTCAATAAAGAGAGGTCACGGTAGACACACAAGAACTTTTGACAAAATTATTAGAAGAGATTTTTTAATTAACCAAATGTCTGAAAATTTGGTTTGTGACCGAGCACAATGACGTCATATGATTCATGTAACTTACCTCATCATTGTTGTAGTTGATTTATTATATTTTCCCAAGTTTTTGGTTTTAGTTCCTGGGTCCTTCTAGGGGTTCTCTTAAATAATTCTGCAGAGGCATTGGAGAAGTCCATTGATCGATGGTTGCCCTTTTCTAACTCTTGCTTTTTCAAAGTACTATACTGTTTTAGTAGGGTTTCTCACTCAGCATACTCTTAATCTCACTAAAATTGCATTTTCTAAAGAAAATGTTTTAGTAAACCCTAAGCCCAGTCTAACCATAAAATTGTTTCAAGTCCTGGACCTAAAACTAAGGGTAAACTCTAAATCTCTAATCCATATTGTCATATAGAAGCCTGTCAGAAAACACAGACCTACTGCCTACCACCACAACCATGTGTTGAACTGAAGCTAAAATTTAATTATAAAATGTGAAAAGGCCAAATTTTGACATGTACAAAAAATACCTTCAATACCAAGTCAGTGATAAATTGACATAGAAGCTAAAATCTTACAAGGATAAAAAATTCAATAAACTAAATAATTCATTCAATTTATGATGTAAAATTGTTAACCAGTTGAGCTAAATGAATGATAATAAGCACAACCAGTACATCAGTTTCAAATTCATACCTGAGAGAAAATGAGGACACGATGCTTTGTTTCATGCAATTTGACAAGCAACTTATCAAGTATTACAAGTTTTCCACTGCTAAAGACAATTCTCTCTAGTTTACTGCTGTCACTACTTACAGCATCCCCACCATAACCATGGTCAGCACTTTCAAACAGGAAGGGATGGTTACAACACTTCTTCAATTCTACCACAATATTTAGAAGAGAAACCTTCAACGGAGCAGAAAAAGTGTACGTTAGAATTCAATGATGATCTTTAAGGGGAAAAGAAATAGAATTATACATATATCGTTAAATCTATCTGTTGAGATTCATTGAGATTTCCACATTTCTTCTTTCCTTTAACTGTTCAGACGATATTTCATTATCTGTATATACAGAATATAAGATATTGTGGTAATTAATTAAGCCATTCAATCCCTGAAATTGAGCGATTCAGTTTTGCATTCTTCAAACAATTCAATTACTGAGAGTTAACCCCTAAAGCATTATATGATAATTCCTTTCCTCCAATCACACAGAGTATCACATTTACAGTAAAGCTGTACCAGTGTCTTGATATGCACCTTGATGGTTGTCAATAAACTGTATTTAATAATTAATTTTTTGAAGGAAAAAATAGAATAATTAATTACTCCCCCTAAATCTAACTGCCAAGTATTGGCTTTATAAAATAAGAAACCCAATAAGTATACCTTTTCCAATCCCGCATAATCAATATCCGTGTAATAAACCAACTATCCCAAAAGCTTAAGCTGATAGGCAAAGGCAGATTAACGGTTTTGTCATACATAATTAACATGCCCATCAAGCAAGAGCCCTTCAGGCTGCGAGAGTGCACAATGCATAGGCTAACTTACCTTGTGATGAAGAGAAGAAATAGGAATCCATGAAGAAAGGAGATTAATGGTTTTACTATATCTCTAACAATCATAAAGAGAGGAAATAGGAATCCATGAAGATATTTACAAATGATTATTACAGAAGTGGGACATAGATATTATAACCTGATTCCCTCGAACTCCTTTGTTCAAATCATGAAAGTTGCGTTCCAAAATCCACTTATAATACCTAAATAAGTACAGACAGCATCAGGAATGTAAAAAGTGAACTTGCAAGACTATCTAAAATAATATATTCGGGAATGTAAATTGCATTTACTGTTTCTGAAGAGGAGACATTTCAACCCTAAGAATACGCTCAATTTTGGGGGGTAGTGACTTCTCCACATCCTTGATAACTCTTCGAAGGATATGAGGTCTCAATTCCATATGAAGATTAGCAAGCTAAAAAAAATAATGTGAACATCAATTTAGACAGAAGACAATAGCCAAGACTCAACCAAGAAAAATCCAAGAAACAGGGAAAATAAAGTAAGGATATTGACAGTAAATCATACCTCATTCTCATTGAATGAACTCAGATTCTTATAGTTTTCAACGAATTCATCCTTGCTCTTGAACTTATCAGGATCAAGAAAGTGGAGCAAAGCCCTAAAAAATAAAAGAGAAGCAGGAAAATTGTTATACATACAGGACAAAAGACAAAGCAAACAAAATTAAGTGTATAACGTCTTTCTTGTTTTACATATCAAGTAAACCAATCAGAAACTAGTAAAGTGAAGACGATACAAAAGAAAATCAATTGATTATTTTTTCCAGAAACAGAAAAAATATTTGCCTTTGAATATGAGAGCAAACATCTTGATGCATTATCTTTACCTAGTATATAAAGACTATATTGCATGCAACGGACATATGTAATTAGTTTATATAATGACATTTACACCTGACATCTCTATCTATTTCAGAGTTGCACTATAGTATTAAGTATTAAAAAATACGTATCTGTTGTCCACAAGATAGGGGTTATATGCATTTGTAGTTTTCATACAGCAGATAACAAATGAGAAATATTAGACCAAAATATCATCTTCAAAACTATATTTTTTTAGCTGAAGCTGTCCAAACAAACCTAATTAATCCTACTACCGCCCCAACTCTGAAGCCCTATATGTTTTCAGGCAATGACTATAACATATCACAAGAATTGGTATTATGTAAGAAAATTTGTATGCATTTGTAATATCCATAAAATATGAGTATTGAACAAGTTATGAAATAGAAAGTCACAAAGTTGTCTTCCATGATGCATAATATAAAAGGAGAAAAAATGCAGTGATGTTCTAACTAGAAAAGCAAATGGTGCAAAGTGTGACTTTTAAAATAATAGGATGAAAAAACGAAAAGCAAAAACCACAAGAAAGCAAGCTTTAATTTACCCCAATATATTATTAGCATTTGTTGACACGTACAAACAAAAATAACAAAAAATCTAACATCTTAAAAGTCAAGTATAACATCAACAAAAAATGCTTTTAATACCATAGCTCTTCTACACTGTTTTGTAGTGGAGTACCGGTGACAAGCAACTTGTTCTTGGTGCTAAATTCCTAAAAGATAAGGAAAGAATAAATCAAAATTAAAAAATCAACCTCAAAAAAATAGCTAAATACTAAAATTAAGTAAAAAAGCTGCTTACTGAAAGTGTAGTGTACAGTTGTGCTTCACTATTTTTCAGTCTGTGAGCCTCATCCACCATTAGATAGTTCCACTTGATCTTGGAGAGAACAGCTTTATCCTTCAAAACTACTTCATATGTAGTCAAAAGTGCATTGAATTTTATAGGTCTTCCAGCCTTTTTATCATCATAAAATTCATATTGTTGGCAAACCTGCCACAGAATGAAAAAATGGAAAAGAAAATCTTACATAAAAGAATTGAGACCAAAAAAGGCAAGGTATCTATAATATGATCACTCCAAAAGTGGGGTGGGGACATTACAATAATCATCCGAACCACATCCACTCTCTTAAGTCCAAAACAATTAGATTAGCAATCAATTAATATTCTCTAAGGTGCAAAAAGATAATCTAGAAATCACCTTAGTCTGATCCAACAGAGAAATGTCATATGCAAAAATCTTAATTCTGTCTGCAACAACTAACCAGGCATAACAAAGAGGACAATTTCTCGACTTAACACTTGACTTATGATCAATCATATAAAATTACCGTGAGATCAAAGCAAGATGAAAAAACATTACAGCATGCAATACAGTAATATCAGTAATCAAGGCTAGATGTTTTCCCCCCAGTTAAATCAGTAATATCATATATAGTACAATTGACTTTTGGATTTGATGAAGGTACTGAATGATGGATTCCATAACATCCTGTAGATATATAAGTAAAGATCAAAAGCACAGGTTTCAAGACTTTCAGAACTCAAGGAAAAACAGCATATGTTGAAGCTAATACCTATTGATGTAAGGATCCATGTTTCACAGGATTCAATAAAAGAAGAAAATTCATAGCATCAATGCAAGACATGGCATACAATACAACCACACCAAAAAATAAAAAATATGTAACCTCAAGCATATACATAGTAAATGAGCCTCCTGAGATGTTTAATCAGTAGGAAATGTGGCTTGACCAAGAAACAGGTAAAAGCATGAAAGACTAAAGAGAACGAAGTTATGATTTTGCTTGATGAATGATGAGAATGACTAATGATGAAAAGATTGTGATATGGGTGAAATCTCTTTTCCAATTGAGTATTATCTCCATCTTGTCAAATACAAGACAAACAAAGAAGTTAGGTCGTAAGATACAAGACAAACAAATAAATAAGAACAAATAGGATTAAACAAGACCTTGGTTTGCCTTAGTACCACATCCAACTCTAGAAATCCCTCCCCTCCATCAAATTCATTTCTTCATGTACTTTTCTTCATATTATACAAGTTCTTAACCATAGTAAAGGACCATGGTGCCATACATACACAAGGACATGTTAACAATTTTAAAGATCAATGCCGCCATATTTGTAGGGCAGTCTAATAAAAGATCAAGTTGCTAAACCATATCGAATATCGGAAAGATCTTGTAATTTCATTTATATATGAAACAAAAAGTCAAGGAAAAATGCATCACCTCTCTACTTGCACGGGTACCAACATAGACAATGACATTCATGTCAGGAAGCCACTTCCTGAATTCTTTGGCCCAGTTTGATAATGTAGACAATGGGACAACTACAAGAAAAGGACCATGGATATGCTGGGCATTCTGTATAAGGAAACAAAAATAAATTTATCTATTACATTAGAAAGACATTTGTAACTAAACAGATCATTAATATTTTACCTGTAGAAAACCAAGCATTGATACTGACTGAACAGTTTTACCAAGACCCATTTCATCAGCTAAAATGACATTTGTATCATTTCGCCAACTGTCAAATTGTAATGAAAACAAATTTAGAACAGCAAATAAACAAATGCTTACTTTAGATATACACAGATACCTGTTAACAAGAAAATTCAGGCCCTCAAGTTGATAATCACGGAGCTTTCCACCCTTCAACCATTCAGGTTGTTCATCAAGTTTCCGCAAACTTGCTAAAGATCACAAAACAACAGATTATTAGCATCTCTACTATGTAAATATTAATTAATATTATTTACCAGAAATGATGAAACCTGAAATTTCTTCATAATGAACTCAAATGAAAAACCAAAAACAAAGAAGAGGTTTTAAAAGACAAGAAATAGAAACAGATGGTGTATATATGGCAAAGTACTTCCCATAAAAGGAAATCACTTGTCTACTTTTTTCAGTTTTGAACCATAGTAATCACAAGTTTTTCAATTAATCAAATTAAAACATAAATGTAAAACAGATCTTAATTAATTTCATAATTTGATTTATGAGTATAGCTAAGATATGTCAGTTTTGTTGAAAAGTAGTAAAAATACAAAAAGAAGTTAAATTTCCAATAGAAATATAACTCTCATAATTAAATTTTAAAATTCAGATAATATAATTTGGTAACGCATTGATCACTAATATAATGAATTAGGCTGTGTCTTGGAACAACTTTTATTCATAAAATAATGGCTTCTAATATTTACCTCTCTCACCTCAGGAAACTGGAAAAAAGTGAGCTGAACCAAGCACACACTTAGACTTTGACAATTGGACTCAGACTTAAATGGGTACCCATAAAATTTAGCAGCAATGGGTAGAGGGTGTTTACCCATCTAATGGGTCTGAATACAGGTATGGCCGTATCGGTACTATAATATCCAACACTACCCATACCCACATAATATATTTATTATCTTAATAATCAAAATTTCAAAAAGATTTAAATATTTTATTTTAATGAAGTTAAAGAATATAATTGTCCAAGTTCAACGGCATGGTATGATCATGTAGCCAACCTCAACTAGTAAAATAAGGCTTGGTTGTTGTTATAAAGAATATAATTGGAATTCTTTTATACTTGAGAATTGTATTATCGTTAAATATTTTCTTGATTTAAGTTGCATATTGTTGTAATCAATGCTTTTCGATTAGTTTTTCATAATTTATTAGTTTGTCAAATAACACATAATGAGAGACCATATTAAAGTTAACTAAAATGCATCTCTAATGGGCATCAGTATAGGTAATAACTACCCAATAGGTAAGGCTATGGATATTAAAAGTGTTTTTCCAAATCCAGTTATGGGTACAGGTAGTGTAGTACCTTACATTTATGCCTCTTAATCTATTCTCTAACATAACATACTCAAAAATCAATCGTCCCTTTTCCCACTCTTTAAGTGGCAAGTGCTATTAAACAATGAAACTTACTATTTGTCATATATTCGCTCAAGTAATTCAAGACACAGCCAGAAGTAAATCATAACATGAACAAAATTGTACTAAGGCTCTGGTACACTACATAAAGTAGATCATCAGCTCGTCTTCAACCCCAAGCAGCAATTAAAAAGGGAGGTACCCAGGGCGCACTCACCAAAATTGTATAAAAAAACTTCAGATATTCATCTAATAAATTAACCGAGGATGTAGAGAGCACATATGATAGAAGAATGGGAAGATCACCAACAACCACTTCAAGTGTATACGGAAGGCACATTAATTTTTCCTAGTTTTATTGAAAAGGAGTTGGGTAGAAAGGCACAGAAAAATGAAAATTATATTAGCATTCTGCACCAGCCTCTCGGAACAGCACAGTCATACTAAAGCTTTCAAAATACCAAGCAGATACCAACCTTTGCTCTTCTTACGCTGAAGATCTACTGTCTTTCCTTGAACTGACATTGCAGCTTCACGAGCCTGTTCAAATATGACAGAACAAACAGCTTACTATCTCTATTAAGTTTTCCTGAATAAAACATTTGTTCAAAATTCCACATAGGAGTACCGTAGCAATACCCTAGAGAGAAGCTAAACAAGAGACAAAGTAACTATAAAGACAGGGAAGGGGTATACTCAGCCAATCCAATCTAATCAGCCACAATGAAAATGTTTCACAACCTATTATTTCAAACAAAGTAACTGCCTATCTATACGATGCACTAATTTGTTCAACAGAAGAAAGGATGGACTGTCAGCATAACCACCACAAAGTCAACAACACGGCAAAGCTGAGATCCAATGGGACATAATACAACAATGACACGCAAACAGTCAAATCTGAAACGGAAGGTACAAACATCTTTTTTTATATAAAACAATGTATGAAAATATATGATAATTTCAATCTTCAGTTGTAGGAAAAGATGAATCCAACATTTATTGTCATATCCCAGCCAATCTTCCATATGGCATACTGAATTTTTCAAAATACCAAGTCATCAGATCCATCTTGTACTGTACCCAAGACCAGAATTATAATTCTGTTACCTAGGTTATGCAAGATTCAACATCCTTGTAGCCCCCAAGCTCTTGCACTGTAGAAGTTAAATTGCAGACCACATAGATGGATAATAACTTCTATGTAAGACTACAGTATGCAGTTGATTCAAACAATTTTGCAAAACCAACATAGTATAATGAGGGGGAAAATAGAGTAAAATAGGAGGCTACCTTATGCTCATCTATAGCATGTTGAGCAAAAGCAATATCAATGTCCTTCTCCCTAGTTATATGAACAAACAAAATAAGCATATCAATATACATATCAATCAAACTGCACAAATAATGAAAAACAGTACAAACTAACATGACACTAAAGGACTCAAAACACACTAACACAGCGCATCATCAATGCATAAAATATGAAGATGCTTGTGTAGAAAAAATGAAAATATAAAAAAATGATTATTCAAGCATACCAAGTCACTTCAGCATAAGATAGTCCTCGCCACTTGACCAAGTATTCTGGAATAATATTGCCAGAATTATCCTTGCTAATCCTATCTGCAATTATTCTTTCCACCTAAAATGCAAGTCACAAACCAATTCAGAATATATCAAAGGTAAAAAGGAAAAGGAAACTCCAAAGTGATGTAAATTAGGAAAAAAAACCTGACTGTTTTGCTTGATAATATCTAAATCCATCTCCTTACTCACATCATTGACCTCAATCTACATACAGCACAAAAAATAACTTCTAGTCAATTAAATGAACATGAATGACAAGAAAAATAACTTCTAGTAGCTGAATGACTGAATCCATTTACCTCCTCTCTTGAGATGGTCATCCTGTACCTGATGTCCTCTGTCACTTTCTTTGTATAATTCATAACTTTCTTAAAACCACTGAGCTGCAATCCGATACAGACAAAATGTATTACAGTTCAGCATTAAATAAAGGAGGAAAAATCACGACATATGATAGGTAAATCAACCAATAAGAAACAGAACATTAATGGGCAGAAAAGAGAGAATAAAACAGCATAACTACTATTAATGCATAATAAACAATACAAAATGAAGAGCATACATTTTGCAATTCAACAAAAGACTTCCACTGACAATGCAAATGTGACTGCCCTTTCCATTTTATCAAGAATTCCATCTCATTCCAATTAGGTTCACAATCAAACAAGTGACTCATTAAAACAGGCTGTGTAGATCTATTATTCCTTTGAGCCTCTGCAGCCATGCCCTTGGGCTGATGCCAGAGCACCTTTTCAATGGAGTCTCCATCATCTTCTTCAATTTCTTCCTGAAGAATATTTGATAGAACCTCATCAAATATAGATAAGACTACACAATAAGGAAAGATGCAGTTTAATATTAATTTATCTAAGTAACATCCCACTCCCACCATCGAATTCATGTCTATAAAGCAAAAAATGGAAAATTAATGTAACAGAATAATCATAATCAGTTTGTACAAAACAGTGCACTATAGATTAGACTACGCAGAACCTTTGGTAGGTATAATAAACTGATGTAGTGCACAGGAAAAGTAAAATATCACCAAACAGTACAAACATCAATAACTGTTAATATTTCTTCCTGCTTTGGAACAGTTCTTTCAGGTTAGCTTTAAAAGTTTTGGCAAAAAGTTAGGGGCAATCTCTTGGTACATTTAATTGCAGATGCAATTTTAGGGGCATTATGTTGGGATACAATCGTATTTTTTACTTCCTTCGTAGCACTTGCTAGTGGCTATTTCATGGGAGTTGCCATTACATAGTTATATAGAAATTAGGCAAACTACACGTGTTTTGACAACGTCAATTTTGAAAATCTAAAACAGCATATTGGATAAAAAGGGTTACTCCAACATAGAAACTTTAATTATGAGTCTATCTTACAGATAATCAGATATAGAACTCCACAATTAACATTTACAGAATTTTAGTAGATAGATGAAACCCCAAAACATTTTCACCAACACAGAGACATGGAAAGAGAAAAAAACCATGCTCAAATGTGTGAAAATAATTGGTTATGAACATAATGAAGCTGCACCTTTTGGTATTTCTTCTTCTTCCCTTCATCAGCTTCTTCACTTTCTTCACTTTCAACATATGATACTTTCCTAACTGTCCTACTAGATGTGCGAACCTCACTGTTGCGCATAGAAAAACTAGAGGTTGCAGCTGAACGACTATTATTCTTGCGTACATGCAAACCCCGCTTTTTCATGCTTTTGAAATCCTCATCACTCTCACTGTCTGAATCATTTGCTGGAGACTCATCAACTTCATCTTCAAAAGATGACTTAACTCTTCTTTGTCGACTGGATGCAATTTTGCAATCTCTGGAAGACCTTACACTTTTTCCAATTTTACCTTGCTGCCTTCCCTTCACATTCTTATAAAAGTCAGAATAATCATTATCTGAGACATTTATTTCCTCATCACTATCATCAGCTTCATCTGAGTCTTCACTTTGCCAATCTTTATCCTGGAATTATAGTTCAACGACTTGATTATAGTCAAAAACTTCCAGCAAAACAAAACACTGAATATTTACTCCAACATTAACAGTAAACCAATATGAATCATATGATCTCTAAATAACACATACAACCCCATTCTCCTGCCAAGAGAATATTAGCGTAATTATTTGACAAAAAAAATCAACAAACATACCATGTCTTTCAATATGATCCTCTAAAAATCAAAGGAGGGATGTATACTTTGAGCTTCAAGATAGGTTTATACACTTAAAGCTTTGATAGTAGAATCTAAATGTTACATGTCACTTAACTTGTCTTTCATATTTTCAGTAAAGTATTTGTTTTCGCCACATGTTCATCACACATACACTACAAGCAGAAAACCAATTGATCCAACAATGTAAATTAAATTATAGATTATAGGAACAATTTTATGGTAAAAACAGTAAAATAGTCTTCATATGATGCACATAACTAAGCTATGGAATGAAAAGAATAGCAGTGAAAAGCACGAAGATACGTGCCCATTCCTTGGTTAGATGCAGTTAAGAAATAAAGGGCCGCTAAACTGGAAGATAACACATTGTCCTAAACAAATGAATAATTAACAATACTTTAAAATAGAAAAGAAGAAAAACAAATGCAAAAACAAACAGTGAGTAATAAAATACAGCTCTCCAATTCACCTTCAAAATTTTTCCTCCTTACTCCACACACACACACACACACACACACACACACACACACACACACACACACACATATATATATATATATATATATATATATATATATCAGTTTTAGATTCCAGAGCGAGTATCTTATTGTCTTTCTTCTCTCTTTTCCTCTCTTTCATTTTACTTTCCATCCTCCCAGGTCCTGAATGGTAACAAGGTATTGAGATCTTAAATTCAATCCAAACCCACAGCTTCCCCCAGCATTTCTTTGTCAGACCTTGAAATCTACAGTTCATGAGTTCCTCCACCTTCAATTTCATCATCAGCATCATGTAACATTTCCAAATTTTGAGCACATTTGGATGAGCAGAACTTTCTTCTACTGAAGGAGCAAGTCAAAGCAGTGATTAAATGACATCAGCTGCAAAAGTCTGTGATGAACTCAAAAACTCCATCTTTCATGCTTTTTGCGCAAAGAAATCACAAGCTAGGTTATGTCAATGACCTAGTTTCAGGATCAGTTGCTCTTCTCAGGGCTGTTATCACTGCTTTCTGACTTACTACTTACAGATGCTGTAGTGGGAGGGAGATTCACAACTATTTCCATGATAAAACTTGTGCTAAGGCTCAGCAATATGGAGTTGAACTTAAGATATATGAAGAAGCAAACTCATTGAATTTGTAATTACATGCTTTGCGTCAAGGCTATATTTGATTCTTGACATGGTCCTTTAAGGTTACCATAAGTTTACAACACCTTTGTCATTTCTATTAACAGCAAACTGGATCCATATCAGACTGCAGAGATTGAAGCAAAGCTTGCTTAAGAGGCACACATTGAGAAACATCAACAGCTCTGAAGCATGTGTACTTCGTTTTGTTAGACGTACTCATTCAATATACATCAGGTACTGGTATTGTTGAGTACACTTGGGTACTTAGCCAAATAGGCATGAGCGTGACTTTAATGAGACAAGGTGCAACTTGAGGTATACCTAGTTATGCCTTAAATATTAACTAGACTATTTTTCTTCCCAAAGAAAAAATGATAGTTTCCTGGTAAATTTAAGGAATATTTCATCATTCAATCTATCTTCCAATTTTTGTTTTTTGATTTATCTAATCAAACCCATTCATCATCCTTGGACTTCAGTCTTGTGACAGAAGCATGCCTCTGCACCAAATTTCCAACAAATTCCTTATCTGCCACCTCCTTCACCTGCCTATTCTCTTTTAGAGTACAGTTTTAGCAGCAATCAGGTCTGCAAATACCTCTAACATCTTCAACCAGTATTGCTACTACTTTTAAGGAACTGCTAAATCCCTAAGGACCAGTTCCCAGTCTTACTCATCTTAGGCATGGTTCCTGATTCTGAAGCCACCCATCATGTAACAGTTAACCCTCAGAATCTCCAACAGGCCTCTCCATTCAATGGATTAAACTAGATTCTTATTGGTAATGGCCATGGTTTGGCAGTAATTCAATTTATACTATTTGGTATTTCTCTCCACTTCACCACCACACTTTCATAGTCTTTCACAATCCACCTCTTGTCCCAAAGAACAGTGTTGTCAAAATCATATTTTTACTCAGGATTGCGTGAGTTTCACACATGTTTTGATCTTTTACACAACTAAGATCAAGTCTGGTAGGATCAAAATAAGATCACCGGGAAAAGTTATTAAAGAGGTGAGATCAGCAATCTAGAGCGAGTTGGGTGTCAACAATGGTGACATGTTGAGCTAGGTGACCAACAGGCCCTACACCAGTCCCTCACCCACAATAGTTCTTTACCTAATCCCTCATCGTCCTTCTCTAGGTATCTTAGTCTGTCAGTCTCTGATCACCATTCCCTGCAAGCATCAAAGACCATGTTCTTCATCTCTGTTGCAGGGGTCATGGTTTCCTTTCAGTTTTCTGATCTCTGTCCACTGGACACTCTAAACTCTCTCTCTCTCTCTCAACCTCTTCCCATGACCTTTGCATGACAGTCTCTCCAACTCTCAGCCCTCAACCTCTCCATCTCTATGTTCAGCTCTTCTTTTTAAGCCTACAAGCTGGGATTTTACCAGGCCTTTATTTGAACGCAATAATAAAAAGACATTGAGACATTAACAAAAACATCATTGACTTGTCTCAGTTTTCTATGATGCTCTTTTATGGCTTTCCATAAACAGTCAAATACAAAATAAATATTGAGATGCTATTAATACAATAATTAAAAAATAAAAATTTCATTTTTACGAATTTTTTATAATATTACATTATTAGTGACATATTATCATACTTTTTTACCCTAAAGATCAATTTTATATTTTTAGCAGGCTTTTACGCCCTATGTTACAATCCCCACAATGTATAATATTTCATCTCCTTCCTGTTTGGTAGAATTTCAATTTTGACAACCTTGCTTAACATGACTAAGAGAACCTTGCAAGTGCCAGTAAAGTTGCTGAGAATAACTCAGTCTACTTTAAGTTTCACTTGTTGTGCCAAATCTAAAGATTCACATGAAGTTCTCTTGTAAGGGATACTTGGCCAAAATGGGCAGTACACGTACAACAATTTCCTCTCTCACACAGATAACACTTTACCATCTTCCATTTCTTCCTCTAAACCTGCTGTGCATACTATAGTTTCATCTAATTTTGTTTCTAATGTAAATTTTTCTTCCACAGTAACAGCCCCTGCCCCATTAACTCCAACCTCCTTACATTACTTGGAACCACAAGTGAGGGCACCCTCACCTAGTCATTCTTAAGATGAATTTTAAGCATCAAATGACATTGCAGGATGCCACTAAATTAATTACAGACCTATAACCATAGTTATCAATAGCGGCCATAATGGCCGCTATCGCGGCGTAGCGGAGCAGAGCGGTGCAGTTCTGCTATGGCAACCCTGTAGCATCGCGGTTCAGTATCGCGGCTGTCGCGCCGGAAATAGCGGCTATAGCAGCCGCTATTCTGTTCTGTTTAAAAATTCTTAATCTTCCCTTTGTTTTTTTTTTTTTAACATTTGGGGCTTTTAAGGGGGGCAATATTGGGATTTTAGCCCCCTTTATTTTTTGAATCTTCTCCCTCCCTCTCACAGACCCTAGCCCCTCAACTCACCTTTCAACTCTCTCCTCAACTCTCCTGTCAGCTCTCTTCTCATTTCTCCTTTCAATTCTTCTCTTTTCTCTCTGTTTTTTCTATTTCTTTCTCTGTTTTGATTCCCTTACTTTGTTCTGTTTCAAATTTCAAAGCTTCAAGTAGAAGCAATGGTTGCTTCTCCTGCACCTTTTGCTTTTTGTTATTTATTTCCTTCTCTAATTTGAGTTTTTCTTTTTTGTTTTGTTCCAAATTTGTATATTAATTTTATATTTTTCAGCATGTAGGTGTGTGCATTAAAACTTCAGAATAGCGGTCATCCCGCTACCGCTATCCCCGCTATAGCATTTTTGAGGTTAGCCGCTCCGCACCACTATCTGGGATTGACTACTATGCCTATAACCTGAGTAAAGTGAGTTGATTCCTCTCAGCCAGTTGCACATCCCCAGAAGGTTATTAAACAAAAACTGAGGTATCTCAAATGCACCTTACACCAATGATCAACCTATGGATCCAGCACTTATCTTTGACCTAGCCTCGTATACTTGGTTGTAAAAGTAACAGCCATTAGTTGAACAGCACTGAAGCTGAAAACAAGGGTCTAGCAAATATAGCATCTGAAATCTTATGCATACAGAATCTACTCACAAATCAAAAAGGTTCTAGTTACCACTACTAGTATTTACTGGGAATTCTTAGCACAGTTTTCTTTTGTCATAGTCCAGTGCTCCAATCTAGAACAAAGCATTGGGAATTGGAACTCTTCTTTGTCAGAGAAAAAGTGATTAACATAAATCTCAAGGCTCTGCATATCCCAATACCAGGTTGATGCAAAGAAATTCTAAACAAGGCTCGATCAACCACAATATGGGGAACAAGACAAACTAATTTTATAATCAGTTTTAATCAATCTGTCCACCTTGACTTTGAGAATAGAAGTTAGCAGTTAGTGTTGTGTACTTCTGTTGCTTCAGCAGTACAATGCATCCACAAACTAGTGTACAGTAACTGACAATAGGCAGTTTCTGTTGGTCAGTCACAGACAATTACTCTGTCAGTTATTATGGGTGTCTGTAGAGCAAACCAAAAGGATAATACAAATCTAAGTTTTAGATTCAAGAGCAAATATTTTATCCTCTCCCTTCTCTTTCATTCCCTTTCTCTGTCAGTTTAAAAATCACAAATAAATTTTAAAAAAATTAAAACAAGAACCCAAGTTTCACATCATCCCCACCAACCTCTGAAATTACAACATAAAGAAAACATTACAGCTCTTTTTCCTCTATCTAAGCAAACAATAATCAAACAAGAGCTACAATTAATGAACTTACTTGTCTTATTTCTAAAATAAATTAAAATAAAAAAATCTATGCTTAGAATTTGGAAAACTAGAGATTTTTGTCAACTAATGCGAAGGATGACTATATATTTATGCCATATACACACAACAATAACAGCATTTCACCAAATTTCTCAATATATATTATACCAAATTGCAATTGACATCAACAAAATAAATAGGAATTTTTCTTTTCACTTATTTCAATAAACAACTTTTTTAATCCGCTATCCTAATTCTCTATCATACAAGCTTGACCAAATTATATTCTCTTTTTTGGTATCATCTATTAATATTATGTCATTATCCAATATGTCATTTTCTTTTCACAAGCATGATACACTTTCTCCTTTTGAATTCATCTCACTTGTTTACGGTTAACAAATCTTTGCAATTCACTATCCCCAATTCTATATTAACTTTTTCTCTTTATTTGTATTACCCAAAAAATTAATTATTTATCATTTATTAAAAAAAATTTAAACCATAAAATTAAAACAAATGCATGTCAAGAGTGTATTATCATGCTAAAAACTGGATTTCAATACAATACCTAAATTACAGTCTTAATAAATATGTCAATCACTGATCTATATATATATATATATATATATATATATATATATATATATATATATAAGGTTATCAAATCAGAATTCAATATTTGAATTGGAAGGTCTATTTTCTGAATCGAAAATGGAATCATTTCGTGAATCTTATGATTCACGATCAATAACTCAAGAACATAAATCTAAAATCATTTTAACATAAAGAAAGATACAAACAATTAAATAACATAAATAACTATATATATTAGCATTTTGGAGTTTAAAAAGGCCACTATATAGCTATAAAAGTGGCATATACACTACAAAACAAATAAGGATCCAAATTATAACAGTAGCAATGACCAAAAAAAAAGTGACTGTTCAAATTCAGCACTATATTACTCCCCCCACCCCATAAATCAAAAACAATACAGTGAAGCAGCTATCAAGAAGTTTGGGTAAAAAAGTATAGCCACCAAGCAGCACAAAAGGAACATAACAATACAATGAAGCAGCATGTGTAGTAGGAGACAGAGCTTGGGGTTGACTACATGTGCCATTAGGGGAGAAGAAAAAGAGAAAACCAAGAAGAGATTTTGCTTTCCTATAAAGACAATTGGGTCAGCATGGACCTAAGTGGGAGGGACGTTATTGGCCCTCTCTTTTCCACTCTTTTCTCAAAAAACCTTTTTTAGGTTTTCAGGAACCAGGTCATGCTGACCCAACTCGGTAGGGCGTGTGACCTGGGTTGGACAGAATCATGTGATTCAACCATGGAATCACGATTCAACCGATTTCAACAATACCCACCACAATTCAAGCACAAAAACAAGATGCAAGGCAATTCATATCACTGTAGGCCAGAATCACATGCATTGTATAGAGATTCATGCAATACTAACTGCACTAATAGGATTTCTATATGATTACTTTCCATGACTACCATCACATGGCAATCAAGTAGACAGTGCAATTTAATGCCAAATACTGGAATTTTTTTTAGTGCAGGGTTTCAGTTTTAATGAATCAATTAGCACAAGTATAAACATCACCTATTGCAGCCTACCAAAGGGCATTACTTATAAAAGAGACACAAACATGATCCCTATATTTCCTAAAATGACACAGCCTACAATGCTAATTATATCTCACACCAAAAGCAAACTAGTATGACTACAACATGCTTTTAGTCTAAATCTTTAGCGCAAAAAAAGGACCAAATCCCACAAGACTTAACCCACCATGCAATTAATGATCTGTTCTCTGTAGTAGCCAGTATGTCCAAGAAAATTGATGATAGATTTGATCATACACTCAATGGCACATTTGACAAGTCAAAATTATGTGGGGTAAAATCATTAGAGGAAGCACAAGGAACAAAAATCACATAGTTTGGAGCAATGAAGAGAAACAAAGTTACAACTGCAAATAATCATTTCCTCATGCGTTAGCATCCAGGTGGCAAGTGGCAACATTAGAATGCCACATGCTTACACAGAAGGTAAAATGCAAACAATATAGAACTTATTAATTATGACAATGGATAACAACCACAAACGGACGACCTTGTTTGCCGCACGATCACTTGTTGAGGGCTCAAAGTCTGCATCATCAGGATCATCTCCTGCAAAGCATTAACCCAAATAAATAAATAACTATTGGCCAGAATTCATCTTTAATAATAACAACAACAGAACAAGGGCTATATTAGCTAATTTCAGCAGTAGAACTTCATCATATAGCAACATTCTACATATTTAAATGCAGTGTTCCCATACCATCGGCTTCATCCTCTTCTTCATAATCAGCATCACCGTCATTATCTTCAGCTTCATCTGAAATCCTAGGCACACGCCTATTGATAGACATCCGTTGAGGCCAAGAATTTGATATAGTACGTTGATGAAAGCCCCTGTATTGCAAGGAGTCACTCTGTTCTTCCCCATCCTGTTCATAATATTCATCAGACAACATTTCCTCAGCAGGAATATCAGAATGGCCTCTTGGACCTTTTCCTGAATTCTTCTGTCTATCATCATCTTCAGAGTTTAACCTTTCCCCCCTGTTTTCTGACAAATTATCATCAGACCCATCTGCATTTCGATAGTCTGATCCACTTTTAGATTCATGCCCAGATTCAGAACCATTCTGTGGGCACATTGGCTGGCAATCTTTCCAAAATGTAGTACCCCACCTTCCAACAGTAGCTGGTTTGCAGCCCATATTCTCTGCGTTTGATTCCCTTGTACCAATTCGATCAACACCAGTTGCCTCCCTTTGTTGCCTACAAACACCATCTGGATCACTGTCACTCTCATACGGTGCCTCCATGTTCATATCAAACTCTTTCTCACTAGAAGTTGCATAAGCACATTCATTATCTACTGATCTAGGAATTCTATCAGCATTTTGTCCTTGGCCCTTATCTTCCAAGACACCATGTGAAACTGCATCATGTGAAAAGTTCTTAAAGAAAGTCATCATGTCATGTAGGTCTACCGTACAATTTCTTTTCCTTCATTCAATCTCCTCACTGTAAGAGCAATTAAAGATAACTAAAGCCCTGTTATATGTCACCAGCTCATTCAGGTATCTTCGTCTCCACAAAGTCTAACAAGAGAATAATAGACAATCAGTAGGAACTGCTTAAGCAGTTAATCGCACAAAGATAATATAATACCAAACAGTGCAAGTGTAACAAAATAGACAAAACCTGCTTCACAAAACGCCAAAAAGTTCAAAAGAACCTAGTGGAAAAGCATAGCAACAAGCCAACAAAAGTAATTTACATCTTATAGACTATTTTAAAAGAACTTCTTATAAAAAACCAAGCATTCTCAACTGTTACTAGCAAAACTACTAGGCACAAGTACCAACCAGCAACCAGTGGCACCACGAATTGAAATCCATTCCAGCTTTCCCAAACCACTGTTTAACAAGTGGCTCAAAATCAGAATTCATCTTCCACACATTTTCTAGCAAAATGAATTTACTAGCAACAAAACATGAAATTCAAAAGCAATTTTTATCAGGCTAATTCAAGAGCAGAACTAGAACCTGACACTCTAAAATTACTAATTTTACTTCAAACTTCAAATATTAGCATTCAAAAAAGGAAAAAAATACTATCTGATTTTAAATTGAATCCCATTGATCAAGGAGGGAAAAGTCACCGGTTCAAACCAGTGCCCCAACGGTCAAAACCGAATTACACTAACCCCGCGCTGTCCAAAACGCACGAACTCATCACCTCACAATCAAAAACAAGTTCAACAACAAAAAAGACAACAAAGCCAAATCGAAACAGTGAAACCGACAGATCAACAAGTAAATTTCACAAGAAACAAGTGAAGCTCTCGCTACTAAAACCCCTACGAGCTTCAAAACGCAACCTAAATCCACAATTGCAAACCTAATTCCGCAAACCAAACGGAAACCTAATCGGAACGAATCAACACGCAACAACAGCAAGAGGCTCTCACCTTTCCCCCTGCGGAAGCGCACCAGAGTTAAACCAATTAGGCGAAAAAAGGAACCGCGGTGCGCAGGTTAACAATCGTGCGCACCTTCGCCGGTGAGGAATGGCCACAAACCGAATAGCCAGCCGCGAATACAGAGACAAGGAAGGTGCGAATATTCGGGACTCAGGCGGTGAGATGCTGCTGAGGAGTGAGATTCCAAATGATTACGCCGCGGTGGTGACGGCGACGGAGATTCGCCGGATGTAACGTCGACGATTGTAACGTTCGGAATTAGAGTAGAAGAATGAAGCGATTTGGATTAATCGAGGAGATGGTGTGCAGAAGATGAAAAGGGGAGCGAGGGAGAGATGGCCTTTGCTTTGGCCTCTTATTTTTTTCAGGAGAGAAGGGTGGAGTTTTTTTTTTTTTTTCCCTTATGGTAAACACACGTATATAAATGAAAATAAAATTATTTACGACGTTTTTATTATTAGTAGTAGTAATAATAAAAAAAAATAAGCCTTTTTTACTATAAGAATTTTTTTTATCCATTCATAAACACTAATTGAATATGTTTAATTTTAAGCACAGTGTTATTTTAAAGCAAAATGAAATTCTTACTATGACAAAAGGTTGTGGTTTTTATAGATATAAAAAATAAAAAATTTGAAATATATTCTATTTAAGTGACAATTTGTAACATTTTTTTTTTGCTAGTAAAAATTTGTAACATTTAATAGTATCAATATATTTTATTATATTAAAGTTTGTAATTTAAAAAAACATTATATATAACTTTTTATCTAATGTAATATTACATAATTTAAAATTTTATTTATTTATATAAGTGGTATAAGAATAATGCAATTTAAATTTTGCATAAGTGGTGCAAAGGTAATAAGAGTTATGCACAAAATATAATCTAAAACATAAGTCACACTGCCTTATTTTATTTTTTTTAATTTAAAAAACAAAATAAAAAATATGTATCTAAATTTAGTCATGTTAAGTAATTTATTTAATATTATGTTTTAAACTATTTTATATGTAAAAAAACACTTTTTTTTGTCAAAATCTGTATTAATTATTAGTTTTCTTCATTTATGAAAAAAGTTACATTGATCATCATCAATTTCAAAGTTACTTGCATCTTTGTTTCTTTCAATTCTTCTTCTTTAACAATAAATTCATCAAAACATAACTCACACATATCATAAAACTAATATGTTTCCAACACATCCTTCACATGGCAAGTCAAAAGAGGAAGCCATTTTTCTTTACTAATATATTTTACATAATAAACTAATCCAAGTTAAAACTTAAATAAATACATCATTAGTGTAATATAATCACCTCATGTTGATACTAAATAATTTATACCCATTATTTTCTTTCCCCACCTTAATTCAGCCTTAAACAAGGCTTCAAACTTATTTAAATAATATAATGTTTATTTTAAATATTTTATATTTTTCATATTGTTCAAAAATAATTAACATGTATTGTTGTTCTGTCATCTCTTATTATCATGTCGCTATTTTAAGTGTTACATAGCATTTTTTGTATGAAACATAAACTCTAAACATAAAATCATTGAGAATGTATCCATTGTAATTGAGCAATCATAAATTTGAACTTCTTGCTACTTACTAATTCTCACGTTACATAACTGTAGCAATCATATGTCTTGTATATAATATTGGTTAAAATAATTATATTTATTAAGAGAAAATATAAATATTAAAAGGTTATTCAAATACCTCTTTTTTAAACTATTTATGAAAGTATTTTTTTATGTCTCTTCTCCATATTTCTACTCTTTCATTATTTAATATAGTCATATGCTCGCTAAAACTCAACAAACAAAATAAATATGCAAATTATCAAAAACATTTAAAAGAAAAACTTTTAATAAAGGAATTCTATACTTTTGGGAAAAACATTTAAAAGAAAATTTATTGTAAGATAATTACTAAACTCAAGACTTGATTTCATAACAATTTTGTATTATATAAAAATGAGTTTGTATACGTGTGTATCAAATCGATTCAATTTAGATATCAATCAATATCTAGCATAATATATATGGTACATAAGCAAATAAATATTCAAGCCATGCTTTATTAAACATATAATCATTTAGTACATATTAAAAAACTAACAAAAATAAATATTTATAAGTAATAATTGGTAAGTATATAATTTAAATTTAAAATATCAAAATATTATTAAAGTTAACATTACAATAAACATTCATCTATATAACAATGGACCTCCCAGATTTGCTTCATTTTGTCAAGTGAATTGGTAGATAAACCATAATATAAAAAAATTATGGCAAAATATGCTCCCATTAACAAAAAGTCATCACAACATATTTCTCTAAATGGTCCAACTTTTTTATATATAACTCTCTAAGTACAGATCCCTGAAAAACAAAGATAACTTAATTAATGAATTACAAACATCTTTTGGAAGAACTTTTTGATGATCAAAGAAAATTTTCTTTTAAATAAAAAATTATAATCCTGACTTTTAAACTTATATATCTTGAGTTCCTTTATATTTTCACAGTATCCTGTATTTAAGGCATAACAATTAAGAAACTTTCTATCCTTTATGATTTGATATAACATAATTTTGTGTACCTTTAACATTGTGTAGTCTCAACCACACTTGAATATTCAATAATGTCCCAACCACACTTCTGAAAAAGTAAAAATAAATTTTGTGTATCACATCTAAATTATTTTTTAATAATATTGTCTTCTAACAAGGCAACTACAATATTTTTTTTTTAAATTATGATTTACATATTTGGTTTTTTATCTTATAGATTTTTCAAATATCATTGGTTGAAAATCTTGAAGTTGTCTTACATCTTGTCAATGGTAGTATTGCATGCCTTACCTCTTTTATATCATCAAAAAAGAACTCTTATTATCATAAAGAGTGACTAGAGGGTAAGAATCTACCTTGACCTATGGAACAATGCTTGAAATCATATTTTAAATATGAGAGCTAGTTTAATTCTCCATAAATACTCCATGTAGATGATTTAAAAAATTGGTTTTATAAGTAATAATAATATAAAATTTAGTTATATCATACATAAACAAAGAGAGAAATTATAAAAAATCAAAATCACATATCACATGTTATAAGAAGTTCTTAACATGCTAAAAGGTTTGAAGTTATCTAAGGTTAGAACAAGTCTTACATTACAAGGACTATATATATATATATATATATATATTCTAAAGAACTTTTCACGTTCAAATAGACGATTGAGTGTTTTAATGCCTTAAAATTCTATCATCAATATTATTTTTGTTTTATTTTATTTTATATCTAACAATTTATAACTTTAATAGTCTTAGTCTTAGCTTTATAAGAAAGTAGAAAACTACTTTATTAGATATTTTTTTTCTTTTTCTTACGTGTTTATCATATTTTTGTGCTCACAAATTGGACAATGATTACATTTTTTTTTGTAATATCTTTCTCTATATAAAATATGATCTTTAGAACACACATTTATCTTTACATAATCAATTTCAAGATTCTTTATAATATTTTGAACCTCATACATTGAATTAGGAAGTATATTTCTTTCACATCAATCAATAACTTTAATAGTAAATTAAATAAATGATTGCTCTATCCATAAAAACATTTCATTTGTACAAGAAACATAATAAAAGATTATTTGGAGAATTTCTTATAAGTAGGATACAATTTTTGTTAAAAATTTTTAACTTCCTTGTTTGACTCCTCAATGATGTTATTAGCTCTGGACATAGATCAATCAAACATGTTACATTTGTTCATATTAAATTTGATGCATATCATGAACCATAAAATAAGTTTGAGAAACATCCATTTTTTATAATTAAAACCAGGGGATCATCTTTAAATTCATTATCATTGTCACAATGATAAGTTTTGTAGTATTCTCAATGATTATAACTTATTTCAAACGCCTTTTTAATCAATCACCAATCACCATTCATATAATTTTTAGATTTATAATAAAAATTATTGTATTTGTAATATGATCATCTAATTGTTTAAAAAGTCATCTATTTCTTTCAAATATTAAGATAAACTCTTATATTTGAGTTCCATTCATTTATTTTTTCTTATTCATTATCGCACTCTTATAATTTTTTTTTTGTAAAAAAAGTATGTTACATTTTTTAAAAAAAATGTATCCTAAATTTTTATAATTTTTTTTATTTCTTATATGTTTTTATTTTTAAAAACCCAAATCCTAGTTTTTTTTATCATAAGAATATAAATTTTATTTATATATAAATTCAGAAATTCAATAATAAAATAATTGACAAATATTTAAAAATAATAAATAAATTATTAAAATATATTTCTTATTAATCAAATTCAAATTCTTAAATGTCTTGATAAGAGCATTTTTTTTTTATTTGGATTAGATTAGAAAATAAAACTACCATATGAATTCAACTTAATTTGTAAATATGTCTAGCTAGGATTTAGAATTATTTTACTAAAAATATTTTTTTAGAATTATAATAACAATTTACCTTTTATAAGAAATAAAAATAAAAATTTATTAAATTTGAAATTTATGAATTTATTTAGAAACTAAAAAGTAAGGAAAAAAGGCATCAACATGTAATGGTGGAAGTGATCTTATCTAATTTGAAACAAAAGGTAAATCATTGAAGCATCGACCATAAAATATGTCCATCCAAAATAAAGTTAAAAGTCATAATAAATCAGTGTTGTTTTTAGCTAATCTTTTATAAAATAAAAAGTATCATATTACACATTTTCTGCACATTTTATTTTCAAATAAAAATATTAACAATCTAAATATTTTTTTATTCTTTTATCTTATTTATTTAATATTTTTTTTTAAAAATAACTATAAAGATATTTTTTTATTTTTAGTTCATTAAAACTTTTTTTGAACTTCAACAATTTCACTACCTAACTCGATATATAAATCAATTTAAAAACAAAAGATAACAAATAAGAATACATGCTATACAAAATATAATTAAAATAACACTACAATATTGTGCTAATACCAAAAAGAATTTATTCAAATAATTTATAATTAATTAAAAAAATTAATCTAGATTCAAATTACATAAATGAAAACTAAGTATAACAAAATAAGAGAAAAAAAAGTATATACTTATTTTGTTTTAAAAAAATTTTAGATGCTATTTTTTTATTCAAATTTTTTCTTTTGATCTAACTTACTATTTTAAAATTATCTCTTTCATTATTTTTTTTCTTTCAAATGCAATTTTAATAATCTATTTATAAATTCAAACATATTTAATTTCAAACTCTGTTTAAATTTTTGGAATTTTTTTATTATGTAAGTTTCAGGTTTTATTATAGAATTCGAAATCCTCTATTAACATTTCAAATTCAAATCTAAAACAATCTATAAATAAAAAAGTCCTGTTACTTTTACTTATCACTTTTCCACTATATATTATTGAATTTATATGTATAATTTTTATTTTATTTCATTACATTTTAATCCTAATCAAAATAAAAAAATTCATAATGATAACTTCGATTTCAAACTACCCTCTAAATTTAACCAATGATACTTTCTTTTCATTTTTATTGATAGAAATTTTGCAACATTTAAAATTAACGGCACTTATCTTCTTATTAAATTTATTAATATACAAGAGTTAATTTAAAAGTTAAATAATCATGAAAGGAGTTATATGTATATTTTTGGCTCTTGGTTTTAAATATAATAAATTTTTATCAAAGTTACTTTTATAATAACTTAAATCTGCTTACATAATCTAGTGGTTCTATGAAACGTTAAATTAAAGTGTGTGAATATATATATATATATATATATATATATAATTTTTTATTTAATTTAAATCTAACGGGTTATAATTTATTATTTTATTGATCGTCATATATAAATTAAATGTTCAGATTAAGTATAATAATTTTTAAACTTACACTAGTGTGAAAAGATTTTATATATATATATATATAACAAATAAAGTGTGTAAAATAAATTTTGATTTAGTCTATTATTTTTCACAACAACTGTTAAAATTGTTAGCACATGAATGTGTTTATCTTAACAAAATATTAAAAACATCTGAATTTAGCATACTTTTGTTAAGGATCATTTGATGTTATTGACCAATACTTATATTATTATCAGTTACAATCACTGAACTAAATTACATTTTTATCGGACAAATGCGATGTTGAAAAAACAAAACATCTTGTACTAACAACATGAAAAATATAATAAAATAAGTATTTCTGTTATTTAATTCTTTTAGTGATCATTTAATATTAAGTAATACAATGTAAGGTAACTAAACATACATGATAATGGCTTGTTTGGGTAATTTTTTCGATAAATCTTGATAAAAATTATTATAAAATATGAATAAAATTTATCTTATAAGTTAAAAATAATGTTTATTTTTTAAAAAAAATTCTCATTTAACTTCTCTGTCATTTAAAGAGATAAATTATTTTTAATTTATAAAAAAATAATTATCTTATAAGTCTAATGATAGTCATTGTTAATCTTATGCTAATAAATAATGAAGTTAGTAGTTAGTTAAAGAAAATGTTAATATTCTTTAATTTTTAAAACATCAAATGAATCACAATCATTGATTTAGAAAGAGTATAAAATATTTTTTCAAATTTACGGATATCATAAAAAGTATTAAGAAATATTTACTTACTTTAATTTATAAAATAAAAAAAAATTAAAATGAAATTTTTATTATCACCTTATAACTTCACCTTAGCCTAACCACATGCCATGTACCCAGGTAACCAAACTTTCTGCAATGCTTTAGCATCTTTAGGATTTTAATTAATAACAGTAATTATTGCTGGAAAACTACACATAACTGGTAGAGGCAAGTATATGGTTCAATCCCCATGTTTATTATACAAACTCTTGAAGTAGTAAGGAGCTATGGACAATTTAATGGGTAAATTTTTAACACACATGAATATATGTATGTATGGAAGAAGAAAATAAGGATATAAAAAGAAATTAAACTTAATTTATATATTTTAACTTTGAAGAAATTAGATGAGAAATTTTTTAAAATGTTTAAGTGTATAAGCTAATTTCAACTTATAAAACATGTTTACTTTATTTTTTTATTTATATATATATTTTGAAATATTTATTCAAATTAAACTTATTTAATTATAATGGCTTTTGCAATGTGCCTTAAACATGCAATATGCAAGTCGCTTGCTCTCACTTGTGAGCTGAGTGATAATAAAGGGAATAAAATATTTAGAACTCATATGACAAACTAGTTTGGTGAATTGATACCTTTCCATCACCCATAAAATGAACACAAGACATATCTATTTAGTATAGACTCAACATTTTTTGTGTAACTAGTTCATTTTTCCTTTTCTAGATCATTCATTGCATTTAAAGTGTATTTGGTTGCTTTGCTTGTGCAAGCATTTCAACCACTTCCCTCATTGTTGGTCTTTCCACACTGTGTTCATGAACACATAACATGGCCACAAAAAACACTTGTTTTGCTTCATCTAAAGGAATGTGATGTAGCCTCTCATCAAGGACCTTCATCACCAACTCTTTGTTCCATTTGGTTTTCATCTTTGTCCATTGAACAATGTCTAATCCTTCTTCACCAAAATCCCCCACTGGCCTTCGACCCGTTATGAGTTCTAGTAACACCACTCCAAAGCTATAAACATCACTTTTCTCATCAACTTTCAATGTGTATGCATATTCTGCACATAAATTAAAATCAGTGAAAAAAATGTTAACTTTCACAACTTAAGCTTCAGTGTTAAAATAGCCAAGACAGTATATTTATACATAATGCACCACCACCAACAATAATAATAAGAAGATTAAAATAAAATTAGTCATTATATATCATTTTTTTTACTTCTATAAAAAAAAGTTACATTTTAATTCTCCCATACAAAATTAAGTTATTGAAGTTTTCTTTGAGTAAGATTAAAAAGTATAGTTTTTATGATTTTTTTCACATTAAATTTTAAGGTCGATTATAAATATCTAAAAGCAATAAAAATTTATTAAAAAAAATTTATTATATAAAAAATTTAATGAATATTTTTTATAAAACTTTAATATTTAAATTACTTAAAATTAATCTTAAAGACTAAAATTAATATTTTTTTTATGTAAAGATTAAAATAGTATCAAATACAAAGAGCAATTAACCTAATAATAAATAAGAAAAAGGTGGGTAAGGAAGGGTGGCGAATATTATTTTACAGATAAAGGGGGAAAAAGCTTCAGTTTGATTTTCCAAAGTAGCAAATTAAATTTGTAACAAGACAACAAAGTTGTGAGATGTGCCTCTAAATTCTTCATGTTTCTTTTTCATGGGGTTTTGAGAAAGTGAATCTTAGATCTCAATCAGTAACTTTGAGGGCTAAAATATACGCATTTGGTTAATGTGCATTTGGTGGCTATTAAAGATATGATAATTTGTGCTGGTCAAAAAAGAATGGCTGTGATTTGTTCCGGTTCAAATCTGGGTTTGTAGTTTCAAAGCATGCAAAAGCACATACCCAATTGGTGTGAAGAAAAGTGAAAAGAATTTCCTTTGTGTTAGTGGAGCCTTTACTCAGTCTAGGAATCCACGTACATGCTGCTTAACACTGTGGTCCCAGAAAAGGAGCAGGCACATGCTACAGTGGTGAAGCAGAGGAAAGAATATTTTTTGTACCCAGAAATAAATGAAAAGTATATTTAACTCATGAACCTTTTTTACTATGAAATTTTGATTTTGATTATTAAAAAAGCGGGATAAATTAGCCATATAAATGTCAACAAATAGAATTTTCACTCATTTCGTTTGGTGAAGTCATTAATTTAAATTATGAAGAAAATGTTTGGTAAACTCTTTTCGACTATTGATACCCAATAAGAGAAAATTATTTGACAGACATCTCAATAATTTTTATTTATTTTATTTGATCAAATCAGTAATACTCAACATAATATGAAAAATATTTAGTTGACATCCTTTGAGATGTAAATACTGAAAAATGAAAGAAAGAAAGAAGTGATTGATGTAATAGAAAACATATGATATGTCAGGAAAAAAAAAAGATATCAAATATGTGATAATGATGATTAACAAAGTGGAGGTGTCTATAAATCAAAATTGAAGTAATAATGTCATGTGAACTTTTTTAGGGAATGCTAAGCAATAATGTTTCCTGAAGTTGAAGTTAGTGATGCTAACCAATTAGATTGAGACAGAAGGTATAAATCTACTTGAAGTTGTAATCAATTATAATCTTTCAAACTTAAAAGGCTTATATACATGTAAAATAAGTACCTGGAGCTATATAGCCATAAGAACCAGCAATGGAAGACATGCACTCTGACGTTCCAGTATCTTGCATGAACTTGGCAAGACCAAAATCAGCAACATGAGCCTCAAAATCAGAGTTCAACAAAATGTTGTTTGACTTGACATCTCTATGGATTATAAGAGGAGAACAATCATGATGCAAATAACAAAGTCCTTTTGCAGCTTCTGTGGCTATTTTGAGCCTAGTATTCCACTTGAGAAACTCACCCCTCTTTCCATGCAAAGCTTCACCTAAGCTTCCATTTGGCATGTAATCATAAACAAGTAAATTGGTCTCTCTGTTGGAGCAAAATGCTAGCAACCTTACAATGTACCTGTGTCTGATTCTACCCAATGTCTTTATTTCTGCTGAGAAGCCATTATCATGTGAAGAGCTTTTGTTGATTCCTAACAGTTTCTTCACAGCCACTTCCTCTCCATTTGGCATGGTTCCTCTATATACAACACCAGATCCTCCTCTTCCTATGACATTGCTCTCCTTTATGCACCCTATGATGTCTTCACTTCGATATTCCAGCTTTTGAAATGCTGTGAGTTTCCATGAATTTGAGTGCCTCCTTGACTTTCTACTCTTGATGATGGCCAAGGTTGCAAACACCAGTGAGCACCCCAACAATGCCAATGCAAATAGGAACTTAAACTTCCCAGGAACCCCTTGTTTTGCACTGCTTTTTTCTTGAGATTCCAATATGGCTGTTGAGGAAAGTTTGCATGGCTTGAAGTCATATCCGCAAAGCTGAGGGTTACCCACAAAAGATGTGGAATTAAAGATTGAGAATTGTCCCCCCTCAGGTATTGAGCCTGAGAAGTTATTGTGAGAAAAATCTGCTGAAGTTAAGCCCTTCATGCCCCCCAGTTCCTTTGGAAGGCTTTGACTTAGGTTGTTCCATGAGACATTAAGGTAGTTTAATATATGAATTTGAGCAATTTGAACAGGAATAGGACCTGATAGTTGGTTTTGGCTCAAATCTAGATAGGTGAGTAAGACACAGTTACCTATCTCAGGAGGAACACTAGCTGAAAAGTTGTTGATACTTAAATCCAACTTGAGGATATTCTTGAGTCTCCCAATATCTGGTGGAATTTCTCCTGAGAATCTATTTGCACTAAGCAAAAGAATTTGCAAGTTTGGAAAGTTTGCAATTGAGGTTGGAAGAGACCCTGAAAAGCGGTTGTTTGATAGGTTCAACTGTCCAAGTTTGGAGGGGGTGTTGGTTGTTTCTTGTGGAAAGCCACCACTAAGATAATTGTTCTGTAGTTCCACAAGAGATAACTCAGGCAAATAAAGAAATCCATGTGGCAATGGCCCAGTTAAATAGTTCTGACCCAAACGAACTCTTTGGAGAGTGTAGCATTGACCAAGATCAGCAGGCAAAGATCCAAAGAGAAAGTTCTTAAGCAAGATCAAAATCTTAAGCCTCTTTCCAAGGCATAGAGATTTTGGCACTAAACCAGTGAGCTTATTTGTTGACAAGTCAACCTCAGTCAACTTGCCATTCTGGCCAAGCTTTGAAGGAATTACTCCGGTGAAGTTGTTCTGCCAAAGGTTCAGAATCTCCAATTTAGGTAGCTCAGCAATGAAGTGAGGAATTTCTCCATGCAACCTGTTGATGAACAAGTTCAAGATGGTAAGCTCATGAAGGGCTGAGAACTCATATGGTATGCCACCTGTAAGCATATTGAATGATAGATCAAGAGCTTTCAAGCTAGTCAAGTTTCCAAGCTGAGGTGGAATTGAACCAATCAGCTGATTAGTGTGCAAATAGAGAGTGTCTAAATTGTAAAGGCTTCCCAACTCAGCAGGAATTGAACCTTGCAAACCACAGTTTGCAAGGTCTAGATGAACCAAATTGCTCAGCTTATCGAACTGAGGGGGAATTCCACCATCAAATTGATTGAAGTATCCCAAGTAAAGGTGTGTCAGATTAGGGAGATTTCCAAGTTCACTTGGAATGAAACCTCTCAAATCATTTCCTGCAAGAGATAAAAGGTTGAGCTGCTCCATGTTTCCATAACTTGGAGGGATTTTCCCAGAGAAGTAATTCCCTCCTAAATTCAAGAGCTTGAGCTTTGGAAGCTCAGTGACACCTTCAGGAAGTGAACCATTGAAATCATTGTCATAAGCATCTAGCACCTCAAGCTCCTTCAACTTGGAGAATTCCCAACTCAAGTTCCCACTGAACATGTTGTTGGATATGTTGAGGAATCTCAACATTTCTAGCTTGTGAATATCACTTGGAAACTCCCCAGAAAAGCCATTTCCCTGGAGAGAAACACTTACCAGGCTCAAGAGTCCTGTGATGGAAGGTGAAAGCGACCCAGAAGCATTTAAATTGGATATGTCAAGTGACACCACAGACCTGTTATCATGGTCACATTGAACACCATACCAACTACAAAGGGACATGTAGTTTGACATGTTCCAGCTACTCAGAGAAGAGTTATCAACTTCAAACTCTTGTTTCATAGAAACCAAGATAGAAGCTTGCCTTCTCAAAGCATGAGGAAGTGAAGATACATAAGGAGTAGTGAAGCACACAAGGAACAAGAGCATGCAAAGTTCGAAAAAACTCAAAGAAGGGGTAGCCATTTTTGAGACAATGGTTTAGAGGAGTAGGATATCAAAGGAACCAAATACACTAAGAAAGTGAAAGTGTAATTGAAACATCACATATACCTTGAAGTTATACTGAATTTTCTTTAGCAAATACAAAGAAGGTGATGACTGATAAGGATTAAGGACTAAGGAGGGTTCTCTAATGAAGAACATAGAAAGCTAGCTAACACTAACAGCATCCAACGTCTTCTTTCTTTCCTTTGTGTGTGTCTTCCTTCCCTTTATCCTTTACACTTTTCCTCCTCCACATTCACATTCCCATTCATGCACACACACACACACACACACACACACACACACACACACACTGCTTTGGTGTCATCTTTAGCTTTTAAAAAGCAAAAGCAAAAGCTAATGTTGGGATAGAAAATAGATAACCACAGACAGTTTCATCACCTTATTAATAATATTTGTGTGGCTTTGTGTCGGTTTTTGAGACCAGTTTCACCATTGCCCTTTGCTTTATAATTTATTTTTCTCTTTGATTTATGAAGTTCATAGGGTCCAATATGGCAGTTGATTCAGATTTGGAATCTTCTTTCATGCAGGCTCAAGTGATATGATTAAACCATCTATGAACATCTTTAGTGTCAATCATGGTCTAGAATAAAACTTTTAAGAATTTTAAGTGTTTTTATTTTGGCTTTTAAAAGGAAAGAGTGGGGGATGGATGGAAGGTATGTGGAAGCACACTACACTTTTTGTATGGCTGCCCCCCTTATGCATAAATGGATGTCGGAAAAGTAAAAGAACCCTTTGAAGAAATTTAAAGTGATTCAATTATGAATTTCAATCCTCACTCATGTTCTTCTATACCATGATACAGTTATTTTTAAAAGAGAGAGATTTCAAATAAGAACTTATCATGATCAATTTATAAGATTCATTAAGTGTGTTTTAATTAGTTAAAAAATATTTTGATAATTAATTAATCAATACCTTGATTGATTATTGTCATAATTGAGTATGCAAAATATGCTTTATGTTTGGATATGTTAGCAAAAAAGTAATTTTCAAATAATCTATTATATTTCAATTGCATAAAAGAATAATTTTTTGGAAGCTGAAATTAGGAAAAGAAAAATATGAAGATGTACAATTTTTTTTATATTTAAAATAATTAACTATTAAGGATAAAATGAAAAAATAAAAGTTAACTAGAAAATAAGTTAATAGTTTTAAATTATAAAGTTAAAATTTTATTTATCTAAAATAAGTTATTTCCTTTGCAAAAAATTAGTCAAAGATTATAAAATTTTCCAAAAATCACCAAAAAGATTGATAATTTATTTCCACCACTTCTTACGCAATTAACCAAAAGAATTTAATTAAAACACGTAATAATTATATTTAATAATTATTTTTTGCATAACCATATCATATTACTAATTATTCCACATTAATGCGAAAGGGTTGAGATTTCAAAAATAAAAACATCATGAAAAGAACCAAATCATAATTAATTATTTAAATACAATTTTAAGATTTAAAATTAACATAATTATAAGAAATATGAAAGTTAAACAAAATATATATTTCACATAACGAGAAAGATTTTTGTATAAATATGGTGTGTTTAAGCGGAATCCACTTAATTTTTAAATTTTTTTGTGCAAGTCATAATTGCCCTCTATAATTTAAAGTGCATTTAACATTTGGAGGAATCATATTTTTTTTTCTCTTACTCATGATTAGCACCATAATTAATAATTAAACATTAATGGTAAAAGGAAACACAATTGTGACAAATTTAGCAGCTAGTGGGATTTGGCTCATAAGATAAAGAGACATATAAAATAAAACTTTACCAATTTAGGTAAATTAATGATAAATATATTTTTATTTTCTCATTATACATGATATACATTGTACACTTTTATTTAAATGAATAATAATGGCCACATAGAATTAGGATGACACATAAACAATGTAAATGAGACAAATTATTAGCTTAATCATTACTCTTTAAATAATTTTTTTTTTTATAAAGTAGTGTTGATTTCCCTTTTTTTTTAAATTGTTCTACAAAATTATTATTTGCCCATATACCATTTTGGATTACTTTTTGTATTCAAAGTAATATGACATAAAATATGATTAAATTGTATAAATTATTGGAATGATTAATTACATCCTTAGGTATTAGTTAAATTAGTATGTTAGTGGTTAATGATATATGTGTTATCAATTCAGTTAATAATTCACTTTTAATATTATAAATTTATATCTTCATTCAGAACATGTATTTGATTTCATACTAATTTAAATGTTTTTTTTCTTATTTTACAAGCTCTTATAGTAAATACAATATTCTTTTTTTCATTTTAAGATTCAATAAAAATTCAAATCTTTTAATTTATGATTAAATTTCTAAAACCAACATTCATTATAATAAGATATTTATTGATTAAAATGATATTTTATTGGTTAAATAATTTTTTTCTGCAAAATTAGAAGTTTAAAACACTTTAATTGAAATAAGGAAATAGTGTAAAAATATTTTTCATTTTGATTCAATCATAAATTATCATGATATTAATAATCGTTAATTTTTATAATAATTAATTTAAAAATTATATTTATCATAGTTTTTTTATTGGTTAGCAATATAAAACTATTTATACTGATAATATATTAAAATAATTTTTTAAAACATTTGAATTTTAAATATGAAAAATGTTCACTTTTTTATTTTAAAATTGAATTTAAAAAATAAATAATAAAATAATTTTATATTTTAATATAATAAATATTAATTTTTTAATATTTAATTTAACTCTAAAGATTATAAAACAATATTTCCTTAATTCATGTTGCTCTATCCTTTAGGACAACCAGTGCCACTCTGCTAAGAAATAATCAAATTCTGACACAAATACCAATCAAAGAATAAAGGAAGACAGAGTACATAAAATATGCTTATCACAAAAAAGCATATAAAGTAAAGTAAGATCGATTATGGTGATAAAATTTAAAATAATCACAAGAAAAAAAAAAAGACTATTCTTATGGGAATACATAAAAAGTAAATTTTGGGCACACAGTTATTTTATTTCTATATAGTTAAAATTAAATGTTATTAAAATTACATAATAAATTCAAAGTTAAAATTATAAATTTGAAAAATAATTTTAATTTTTAAAAATATAAAATAATTTAAAAAAATATATTGAAAAAAGTCTAAGGGGAGCCGTCATAATATAAATTTAAATACTATAACAAAAAAGGTTTAATACACTAATAAAATATTTTCATATTTTTTCATTAATTTTCAACATATATCCCGGCTTGCACTAAGCCATAACCTAACATAAACTCATATATTAAGGCCATGTTTGAATTAATAAAATAAATAAATTTTTAGTCTCAAACTTTAGGCTATTTTTAAATATATAAAATAAAAAAATTATTTAAAAAATATAATAACATCTATTAACATTTATACTTTTATATGATAAATATTTTTTTAATAATAATTTATTACACTTTATTGGATTGAAGTTAATATTTTCATTAAAACATAGAAAATTAAATTACATTTCCATTCATAAAAAAAATCATTTTTGAATATTTCTTTCCAAATTGATAGATAAGAATATGAAACAAAATTATTCCTATCATTATATACTTATTATTAAATCAAATTTTGATAATTTTAAAACATAAAGCCACTTATTAACATTTGATGAAAAGTTAATTTATTCCCTGAATATTGATCATATGATAAAACAAGATGAATGCAAAACACAGTAAATTCAACTATTAACATGTTGAGTCTCCTCTGTTAATGCTTCGATGAGTCACTTCTTTGCTTCACCACCACACCATAGTTACCTTTTTCCCCACCAAAAGCACCACCAATCACTACCCGTGCCTGCATTGGTAGTCATATGCATGAGCACAGGGGATATGCTATTGGAAAATGTACTATTTTAAGAAATAAAATAACAAAAAAAAAAAATTATTATGTTTCTCATTTAATTTAATTCAAATTCAACTCGAGTCACGCACTTAAATGTGGTAGATAAATTTATCACGATAGATTTTTTATATACATAAACATTCAATACCTTATTTAAACGATATCAAGTCGCTTACTATTTAAACTAATCTCTACTGGTATTTTTTAATTTTACTTAAACATTTTTTTATTATTATATTTTTAAAAGATCTTAACTTTAGTTCTTTAATATATTTTTAGTTTTTAATTTTTCTTAATTTAACACTTTGATCTATAATAATGACATGACTTGTTTAAATGTGTTAAATTTTTATTTTGTGTATTTATTTTTTTAAATGTCAGGTCAATAAAAAGGATAAAAATAGTAAATTTAAAAAATCTATGTCTACCATGAGCTTCATTAGAGACTGCACATGTTTGTGTGTTAAAAAATATTTTTTTATTTTTAAAATTAAAATTAAACCAAACTTGAAATATCAGAGATTTTATTAATATATAAAATTTATAAAATCAAACATTAACTTAATATTAAGTGAAATTTGTAACATTAAATATTTGTGGATGACTCGACATTAAAATCAATGAAATTTTTATATCACATTAGATCAAATTTGCTTTAAGAAATTAACTTTCAAAATATTATTAAAAACTTAGGAAAAATATTTTTATCCTATTTTAAAACTAATGTAGGATATGCATATCTTAGTAGAATAATTATTATTATTTTATTTTATTTAATAAATAAATATAAATTTTTATTATATTTTTAAGATTTAATTATGTCTTTAATTCTTATAAGTATAATACATTTTGCAATAAGTATTTATAAATTTTTACTTTTAAAATTCTAAAATATTAAAAAGTTAAAATTTATTCTACATTGTCAATTTTTTTATTAAATATTAAATTGATCAATGAAAAGATAGTTCAACACTCTTACAAGTTAATCGATAGAAAAATGACTTAACAGTCTTGCGTGACGTAAAGTGACATGTCATGTTATTTAATTTTT